GTACTCTGAATGTTTGTTAACTCTGCAATAGCAGGATGTCAGATATATCATCATGATCATAGATGTTTCTCCATAGCAGTATGTCAGATATACCATCATGATCATAGATGTTTCTCCATAGCAGTATGTCAGATATACCATCATGATCATAGATGTTTCTCCATAGCAGTATGTCAGATATACCATCATGATCATAGATGTTTCTCCATAGCAGTATGTCAGATATACCATCATGGTCATAGATGTTTCTCCATAGCAGTATGTCAGATATACCATCATGATCATAGATGTTTCTCTCCATAGCAGTATGTCAGATACACCATCATGGTCATAGATGTTTCTCCATAACAGTATGTCAGATATACCATCATGATCATAGATGTTTCTCCATAGCGGTATGTCAGATATATCATCATGATCATAGATGTCAGATATATCATCATGGTCATAGATGTTTCTCCATAGCAGTATGTCAGATATACCATCATGATCATAGATGTTTCTCCATAACAGTATGTCAGATATACCATCATGGTCATAGATGTTTCTCCATAGCAGTATGTCAGATATACCATCATGATCATAGATGTTTCTCCATAACAGTATGTCAGATATACCATCATGATCATAGATGTTTCTCCATAACAGTATGTCAGATATACCATCATGGTCATAGATGTTTCTCCATGGCAGTATGTCAGATATACCATCATGATCATAGATGTTTCTCCATAGCAGTATGTCAGATATATATCATGATCATAGATGTTTCTCCATAGCAGTATGTCAGATATACCATCATGATCATAGATGTTTCTCCATAGCGGTATGTCAGATATACCATCATGATCATAGATGTTTCTCCATAGCAGTATGTCAGATATACCATCATGATCATAGATGTTTCTCCATAGCAGTATGTCAGATATACCATCATGATCACAGATGTTTCTCCATAGCAGTATGTCAGATATACCATCATGATCATAGATGTTTCTCCATAGCAGTATGTCAGATATACCATCATGATCATAGATGTTTCTCCATAGCAGTATGTCAGATATACCATCATGATCACAGATGTTTCTCCATAGCAGTATGTCAGATATACCATCATGGTCATAGATGTTTCTCCATAGCAGTATGTCAGATATACCATCATGATCATAGATGTTTCTCCATAGCAGTATGTCAGATATACCATCATGGTCATAGATGTTTCTCCATAGCAGTATGTCAGATATACCATCATGATCATAGATGTTTCTCCATAGCAGTATGTCAGATATATCATCATGATCATAGATGTTTCTCCATAGCAGTATGTCAGATATACCATCATGATCATAGATGTTTCTCCATAGCAGTATGTCAGATATACCATCATGATCACAGATGTTTCTCCATAGCAGTATGTCAGATATACCATCATGATCATAGATGTTTCTCCATAGCAATATGTCAGATATACCATCATGGTCATAGATGTTTCTCCATAGCAGTATGTCAGATATACCATCATGATCATAGATGTTTCTCCATAGCAGTATGTCAGATATACCATCATGGTCATAGATGTTTCTCCATAGCAGTATGTCAGATATACCATCATGATCATAGATGTTTCTCCATAGCAGTATGTCAGATATACCATCATGGTCATAGATGTTTCTCCATAGCAGTATGTCAGATATACCATCATGATCATAGATGTTTCTCCATAGCAGTATGTCAGATATACCATCATGATCATAGATGTTTCTCCATAGCAGTATGTCAGATATACCATCATGATCATAGATGTTTCTCCATAGCAGTATGTCAGATATACCATCATGATCATAGATGTTTCTCCATAGCAGTATGTCAGATATACCATCATGATCATAGATGTTTCTCCATAGCAGTATGTCAGATATACCATCAGATATACCATCATGATCATAGATGTTTCTCCATAGCAGTATGTCAGATATACCATCATGATCATAGATGTTTCTCCATAGCAGTATGTCAGATATACCATCATGATCATAGATGTTTCTCCATAGCAGTATGTCAGATATACCATCATGATCATAGATGTTTCTCCATAGCAGTATGTCAGATATACCATCATGATCATAGATGTTTCTCCATAGCAGTATGTCAGATATACCATCATGGTCATAGATGTTTCTCCATAGCAGTATGTCAGATATACCATCATGGTCATAGATGTTTCTCCATAGCAGTATGTCAGATATACCATCATGATCATAGATGTTTCTCCATAGCAGTATGTCAGATATACCATCATGATCATAGATGTTTCTCCATAGCAGTATGTCAGATATACCATCATGATCATAGATGTTTCTCCATAGCAGTATGTCAGATATACCATCATGATCATAGATGTTTCTCCATAGCAATATGTCAGATATACCATCATGGTCATAGATGTTTCTCCATAGCAGTATGTCAGATATACCATCATGATCATAGATGTTTCTCCATAGCAGTATGTCAGATATACCATCATGATCATAGATGTTTCTCCATAGCAGTATGTCAGATATACATGTCCAGATATACCATCATGGTCATAGATGTTTCTCCATAGCAGTATGTCAGATATACCATCATGGTCATAGATGTTTCTCCATAGCAGTATGTCAGATATACCATCATGATCATAGATGTTTCTCCATAGCAGTATGTCAGATATACCATCATGATCATAGATGTTTCTCCATAGCAGTATGTCAGATATACCATCATGATCATAGATGTTTCTCCATAGCAGTATGTCAGATATACCATCATGATCATAGATGTTTCTCCATAGCAGTATGTCAGATATACCATCATGATCATAGATGTTTCTCCATAGCAGTATGTCAGATATACCATCATGATCATAGATGTTTCTCCATAGCAGTATGTCAGATATACCATCATGATCATAGATGTTTCTCCATAGCAGTATGTCAGATATACCATCATGGTCATAGATGTTTCTCCATAGCAGTATGTCAGATATACCATCATGATCATAGATGTTTCTCCATAGCAGTATGTCAGATATACCATCATGATCATAGATGTTTCTCCATAGCAGTATGTCAGATATACCATCATGATCATAGATGTTTCTCCATAGCAGTATGTCAGATATACCATCATCATGATCATAGATATTTCTCCATAGCAGTATGTCAGATATACCATCATGATCATAGATGTTTCTCCATAGCAGTATGTCAGATATACCATCATGATCATAGATGTTTCTCCATAGCAGTATGTCAGATATACCATCATGATCATAGATGTTTCTCCATAGCAGTATGTCAGATATACCATCATGATCATAGATGTTTCTCCATAGCAGTATGTCAGATATACCATCATGATCATAGATGTTTCTCCATAGCAGTATGTCAGATATACCATCATGATCATAGATGTTTCTCCATAGCAGTTTGTCAGATATACCATCATGATCATAGATGTTTCTCCATAGCAGTTTGTCAGATTTACCATTATGATCATAGATGTTTGTCAATAGCCATGCGGCAAATCAATGAGTGTACACGTTACCCAGAGTCACTATCCTCTCTGTCTTGGTATAATGACACACTCAGACAGATCACACATGACAACAGCCCTATACACGTACTCAGTTTTTCTGGCAATGGCAGTCTTTTACAGTTGCTTGCTGGACATGAACTGAAAATTCTATATACTGAAGGCTCTGTATTCAAACACATGTAATGTTCCTCTTCCCCATCTGTAATGGAATATACACCACATTTTTCCCCTGGTATCATTTTAGTGTCATGGCAAGGATCAATGTGTTATCTCATGGCAAGGAGTCGGGGATATAATATTAGGCTCTGTCTGTCCATCCGACGTCCATACGTCCATGCGATGCGAATTGGAATATCTTAAGAACCGTTCACTAGATTCTTTTCATATTTGATACCTAGGTTCATCACAGTATAAAAAGGTCCCAGGTTTGGTGACCTTGACCTTCATTTCAAGGTCACAAGGGGACTTTAACGTTTTACCTGCATGTTAAGCTATCTCAAGAACCGTTCTCTGGATTTTCTTCATATTCAATACCAAGCTTTATCTAGGGAAGGCGCAGGGCCCAGTCAATTTTGGTGACCTTCACTTAATTTTCAAGGTCACAGAGACACTTTGAAGATTTCAGCATGTTAAATTGTATGTTAAGATAGTCATCAAGATATCGCAAAAAATATTCACTGGATTTTCTTCATATTTGACACCAAGCTTCATCTAGGGAAGGCCCAGGGCCCAGTCAATTTTGGTGACCTGCACATAATTTTCAGGGTCATGACGAAACTTTGAAGATTTCAGCTTTGTTAACCAGAATTGTCAGCAAGATATTTAAAAAACGGTTCACTGGATTTTCTTCATAGACTTTCAAGACTTCCCTTGAATGTTTTTCAATAAGCAATTTCTTTAGTACTATTTGTGCATATTTCATACACTATGACATTCAAATGTCAAGGAAAAAGTGTGTCTTGAACAACTAAAGAGCAAGATATCAAGAGAGGTTGACTGGTCATGTTTTTGTTGACATTTAACTTCATCTTAAACTTTCATTACATTATAAGTTTGATTTGATCATTTGCGGCGGGGGATTATGTCACCTTAGTGACAATGCTTGTTTGTCATTCTTTTTTGAATTCCCACAATGTGTATGCTTGCAATATTTGTGTATCTTATTTTCAAGATCCAAGGACATACGAAACAGTGAGGTATACTATTATGCATTATATTATATTGTACAACTAAATGCAATTGTTTTTTGGGTCATTTTTATTGTCAGTTTTTAAAGACATGGGATGCTGACTCATATGCTTCTTGGAATCTCTCCTGGGTTTGCACTCCAAACATTTCGGTGCCTGAAAACACTGAATTTACTTCCCACAATATTTGATACAAGTGACAGGAACTGATACAGGATGTTATTGTCACTGTTACAGAGCAATCGTGTGACACTGAAGATGGACGTGTCTCACACGGAGCACTCCCATGTGATCGGCAAGGGAGGCAACAACATCAAGAAGGTGATGCAGGATACCGGTTGTCACATCCACTTCCCTGATTCCAATAGAGGCAGCAGTGTCCAGGAGAAGAGCAATCAGGTATGTCAGTGTATATGGTGAGGTGAGGTGAAATTGGGTTTTACATCATGCTTGAGAATAATTCGCTCATATGAAGACGTGCATGCGTGTGTATGTGTATGTGCGTCTGCTTGTACTAGCCCAGACTGAAGCTGATTTTATAGTGCTAGCCCACTGAGATACCATGCCGCAGTGAAGCATGAATACCCCACTCAGACACATTATACTGACTCTGAACCGACCAGTCCTTCTTGTACCCATTAATGCTGAGCACCAGGCAGGGACCAACAAGTACCATATTTTACTGTCTTTTGGTATGACGCGGTCGGGGATCGCATCCGCGACCTTCTGCTCTCTGGGTGGACGCTGTATATGGAGAAGAGCATTCAGGTATGTCAGTGTATGTGGAGAAGAGCAATGTAGTATGTCAGTATATATAGAGAAGAGCAATCTGGTATGTTGGTGTATATAGAGAATAACAATCTGGTATGTTGGTGTATATAGACTGACTGACTGAGTATGGTTTTTACGCCGCTTTTAGCAATATTCCAGCAATATCACGGCGGGGGACACAAGAAATGGGCTTCACAAATTGTACCCATGTGGGGAATCGAACCCGGGTCTTCGGCGTGACGAGCGGACACTTTAACCACTAGGCTAACCCACAGCCCCTTGGTGTATATGGAGAATAACAATCTGGTATGTTGGTGTATATGGAGAATAACAATCTGGTATGTTGGTGTATATGGAGAATAACAATCTGGTATGTTGGTGTATATGGAGAATAACAATATGGTATGAGTAATGTGGTATGATGGTGTATATGGAGAAGAGTAATGTGGTATGTTGGTGTATATGGAGAAGAGTAATGTGGTATGTTGGTGTATATGGAGAAGAGTAATGTGGTATGCTGGTGTATATGGAGAAGAACAATCTGGTATGTTGGTGTATATGGAGAAGAGCAATGTGGTATGTTGGTGTATATGGAGAATAACAATCTGGTATGTTGGTGTATATGGAGAAGAGCAGTCAGGTTTGTTGGTGTATATGGAGAAGAGCAGTCAGGTATGTTGGTGTATATGGAGAATAGCAGTCTGGTATGTTGGTGTATATGGAGAATAGCAGTCAGGTATGTTGGTGTGTCTACAGAAGAGCAGTCTGGTATGCTGGTGTGTATGGGGAATAGCAGTCTGGTATGTTGGTGTATATGGAGAAGAGTAATGTGGTATGTTGGTGTATATGGAGAATAACAATCTGGTATGTTGGTGTATATGGAGAAGAGTAATGTGGTATGATGGTGTATATGGAGAAGAGTAATGTGGTATGTTGGTGTATATGGAGAAGAGCAATCTGATATGTTGGTGTATATGGAGAAGAGCAATCTGATATGTTGGTGTATATTGAGAATAACAATCTAATATGTTGGTGTATATGGAGAAGAGCAGTCAGTTTTGTTGGTGTATATGGAGAAGAGCAATCAGGTATGTTGGTGTATATGGAGAATAACAATCTGGTATGTTGGTGTATATGGAGAAGAGCAGTCTGGTATGTTGGTGTATATGGAGAAGAGCAGTCAGGTTTGTTGGTGTATATGGAGAAGAGCAGTCAGGTATGTTGGTGTATATGGAGAAGACCAGTCTGGTATGTTGGTGTATATGGAGAATAGCAGTCAGGTATGTTGGTGTGTCTACAGAAGAGCAATGTGGTATGTTGGTGTATATGGAGAAGAGCAGTCAGATTTGTTGGTGTATATGGAGAAGAGCAGTCAGGTATGTTGGTGTATATGGAGAATAACAATCTGATATGTTGGTGTATATAGAGAAGAGCAGTCAGGTATGTTGTATATTGAAAATAACAATCTGGTATGTTGGTGTATATGGAAAATAACAATCTGGTATGTTGGTGTATATAGAGAAGAGCAGTCTGGTATGTTGGTGTATATAGAGAAGAGCAGTCTGGTATGTTGGTGTATATGGAGAAGAGCAGTCAGGTTTGTTGGTGTATCTGGAGAAGAGCAGTCAGGTATGTTGGTGTATATGGAGAATAGCAGTCTGGTATGTTGGTGTATATGGAGAATAGCAGTCTGGTATGTTGGTGTATATGGAGAATAGCAGTCAGGTATGTTGGTGTGTCTACAGAAGAGCAGTCTGGTATGCTGGTGTGTATGGGAAATAGCAGTCTGGTATGTTGGTGTATATATGGAGAAGAGCAATCTTGGATGTTGGTATATTGGTATATATGGAGAAGAGCAGTCCGGTATGTCTGTTTGGGATGTTAGTAAGATGGGATAGACCTCTCTCAGCAGCATGATTATTACGGAGGAAGGCAGAAGCATGACAGAGATAGTCACAACCACCAGTCCACTGGTCCTAGACTAGTAACAATCAACACAGACCCTCCCTTTTCCTTAAATCCAATTGTTACATAACGATTAGTCAGCACTGAGCTCCAGACCAGTTTGATATTACCAGTGGTCTACCAATTGGATACCATGTGTTTCCCTGTATCAGCAGCGCTTCATCCACATGCTGTACATGTCTGTATAGGTGATGCGATGGTAGTCAAGTTCCTCTACCTTGCAGCTCCACAGAGCAGCAGTGTACAGTGGAATGTGAACACACAATGGGTCTGGCTGTCTTGCAAGCCGGCAATGAGGCATAAACATGTTTCAGAAAAACTTCCACGGGATAACTCCACATCACAAATCGTTATTTCTTCAGACATGATAGAAAAATCTGCACAGCCAATGTAGTGTGGGTGAAAGCAAGCAATGTGTGAGTGATGATAAGCAGTGAAGTTGATGCTGATGGATTCTATCTCGACTACCTGCTATAAACATGGGACCTTTTCATCAGTGTACCTGCTTGTTCAACTCAACATGCAAGTAACATAGACATTCTCTGGCTCTAATGAGGCTTAGCATTTATACTTCGGCAGTGAACGTATCATGGAATGCAGATATCGTATTGAAAGAAAGGAATGGTTGAGCAGAGTGTCTCTAGTGTACAATCAGCCTGACAGACTGAGATTTTGAAAGCTGTGAGTTGCGATTTGAGATTTAGTAGCTTGAAGATATCAAGGTGTGCATTGTACTTTAAGACTGTACTGTATATTACCATAGATAAGCCGATCTCATAGATAAGCAAACTCCCTAACTTGACCCTTAAAATCAGTATCAAAATGGTATGTTTCGTGCATAATCCGACCCCCAAGGTAGTGTCCTAATCGCGGCCAACTCACCACTGACAACTGCCAGTTACCAATAATTATAACTTCTGTCCGCATTATTCACAGAATTCACAATCATATCTACTCACGCCTCGAAATGAAGTGTAGTTGACAGAAAAAGGATAATATATTTTGTATCGCTAAATATCAGGCCATTATGTGATGTTAATGTCTCCTTTCTTCTCACTGGTCATCTCTCTGTACAGCTTTGTATGGAGTGCAATATCTAATCACATGTATTCATATGGAATATTAAGCCCAGTGACAGTGTGTGTTGTTTGCGGGCGGTGGGGTAGTCCAATGGTTAAAGCGTTGGCTCGTCATGCCGAAGACCGGGGTTCGAATCCCCACATGGGCACAATGTGTGAAGCCCATTTCTGGTGTCCCCCGCCATGATATTGCTGGAATATTGCTAAAAGCGGCGTAAAACCAAACTCAGTCAGTCAGTCAGTTGTGTTGTTTGCATATACTAAGTCAAACAAAGTTATATTTTTTAAAGAACTACGCTGCTTTGTCATCTGTTGGTATGATGTAGCTCAGAATCCAACACCAACCCTCTGTTCCTTGTGCACATGCTCTATCCACATGGTTTGGTTGTTTGTTGTTGAAAGCTGCACTCATCAATATTCTCACCTAAGATACGGTCTAAAATAGAATTAACTTAACTCATTCACTACAGTCTATTACGGCTGTGGTTCAGGGCCTAAATTTCCGAAGGTCTCTTAGCGCTAAGATAGTCGTAAGTGCCATACATTAACATTAACTTACGACTATCTTAGCGCTAAGAGAGCTTCAAAATCTAGGCCCAGGGCCCCGTTCCTCAAAGCGATCGTAGCGCTACAACAGTCGTAAGTCTATGTTAAAGTATGGGCGTTACGATCAACTTTGCGCTACGATCGCTTTGAGGAACGGGGCCCTGGTTAGTGTGTACATATGTATACCTGTGTTACAGTACTGTTTATATATGTTTCAGGTGTCTATAGCAGGCCAACCTGCCGGTGTAGAATCAGCACGTGCCCAGATAAGGGTAAGTAACGAGCTAGTGATGGACTTGTATATATTAACCCCAAAGCTGCCAGTTGAAAAGAACAGATTACAACTTTCAGGCAAATGATGACAAGTGAGTTGTGCTAACACCTTTACTTCTACGTACAGTGTAGTGAATGTACACATGTTACATATTGCCATAATCCTACTAGCTTTTGGTCAGGGAACAACATTTTAAAATTCTGGCCCGGGATATTTTTTTAAAGAAAGAATATCAGTCAGCTCTTCAGGAGGCACAGATTGTTTTGTTGAAAGGAGGACAAACTTTATTTCCAGCATATTGGGAAAGAAATCATTTATTTTATAGCAAGAATTGTCTCCCACAAGTATGTTTTGTCCTTTCATTTATTAAAATTATCTGTAGCTAGTGATGGAAGGAGCAACACAGGAGGGTAGCCCAGCTGGTGTATTATGCATGGTTATGTTAAACTATACTCATGGAATCGAATAAGGGAACACTTGAAAGTACAACTGTTCCTTTGTTCTTTTCCAGGTTTCATCACAACACCTGTACTTTCATGTGTTCCCTTACTCGTTTCCATGAGTATATTTTCTTACTGAGACACTTGAAGTTGGTTGGTATATTGTGTCCTCTCAGTTGATTTACAAGGCCATCTAGACACTTGTGTTTGTACACATCTTGTATGGCCATCTACTGCTGGATTAGTTTAGATTTAACCCTGTAACAGCTTTATATGGCCTGCTTGTTTAAACACCTTGTAAGAGACTAAGGAGATGAGTATAAACATGTCCATGTGTCCTGATGATTTCTCACAGTAGTAAAGTTGAAGTTGTCAGGTGACAGACAAACAGTTACTTCTTCATCAAACTGGGTCCCAGTGATCCATATATAGTCTGCCAAATGTTACCTGGTTTGATGGATAATGGGTATATATACTGAGGGAAAAAAATAAGGGATCACATGAAAGCACAAGTGTAATCCTTTATTTCTTTCCAGGTTTCTTCACAAGCGTTTTATCGCACAGCTTGTAAAGAAACCTGGAAACAAATAAAGGAACACTTGTGCTTTCATGTGATCCCTTATTTTTTTCCCTCAGTATATTTTGATCGTTTTGTATTTTCTTTTTTAAATTAAGTTTTACTTTTTTAATTCTTACTTTAGATGCAAATGATTTGTCAACATACTAGCTGCCAACACAACTAAATTGTCAATGTACTAACTTCCAACACAACTAACTTGTCAACATACTAGCTGCCAACACAACTAAATTGTCAACATACTAGCTTCCAATACAACTTCATTGTCAACATACTAGCTTTCAACACAACTTCATTGTCAACATACTAGCATCCAACACAACTAAATTGTCAACATACTAGCTTCCAACACAACTAAATTGTCAACATACTAAGTTGTCAACATACTAGCATCCAACACTGCTAAAATTGTCAACATACTAGCTACCAACACAACTAAATTGTCAACATACTAGCTGCCAACACAACTAAATTGTCAACATGCTAGCTTCCAACACAACTAAATTGTCAACATACTAGCTGCCAACACTGCTAAATTGTCAACATACTAGCTGCCAACACTACTAAATTGTCAACATACTAGCTTCCAATGCAGCTAAGTTGTCAGCATACTAGCATCCAACACAACTAAATTGTCAACATACTAGCTTCCAACGACTTAATTGTCAACATACTAGCTTCCAACAGAACTAAATTGTCAACATACTAGCTGCCAACACAGCTAAATTGTCAGCATACTAGCTGCCAACACTACTAAATTGTCATCATACTAACTTCCAATGCAGCTAAATTGTCAACATACTAACTTCCAACACAACTAAATTGTCAACATACTAGCTGCCAACACTACTAAATTGTCAACATACTAGCTTCCAACAGCTAAATTGTCAGTAGATGTGATGGTACTTCTTGTTCACCAGCCCGGTAGTCGACATTAATCATTTAATGGTATATACTTGTTGGTTTGGAGTCAGTATATTATTTAACTGTATGCTATATCATTGGGCAACCACTGTAATACTGGTATAAGTTCTCACACTTTTAGTTGATGTGTTTAAAGAATCCAAAGATTTTTAGGACAGTAAGAAAATGTTTATATAAAACATCCCATACGGTTAACTAAACATCATTTTAATTGGACCACTTTCAAACTTCTGACAGGCACTGCACTTGGAAGCTGCTAATAGCTATATGCACTCAAGCATTTGTACACAGCCACTCAATAAGTGTATAATGATTTGGAGTTTCCCCAAAAACATCAGAGTTGATAAAAGTTTGTGTTGATCACATGGAGCAGTGCATGAGTTCCAACCGGCCAATTTGTCATGCCTGGAAACCAGTATTCCTGCTTCTTCCAACAATTGCATGTGGCAGCAGCAGTAAGGGAATTGTGTCAAGGAAACCATTCCTTGCTAGTCGGACCAGAGTATATTGACAGACTCCTTGCCATAATTTGTGTTATGGCTAATTGAGACCAAGTACCAGCTATTGCCATGACATTGACTGCTGGACGAAGGACAGTAATGTCAAACATGGTCAAATCATACTCTTGTCAAGAGGGTCAGAAACATTTATATGATCAATCTTTTGTAAGTACATCAAGCATCTCTTTGGGTGAGTGAGTGAGATTGGTTTTAAGTCCGTTTTAGCAATATTCCAGCAATATCACAGCAGGGGACAAGCATCTATTTGGACCATGTATATAATTTCTTACAAAGAAAGAAACATGTTTGTCTTATATGTTGATCAGTAGCAGGAATTACTGAGTGAAATCATGGTTTTGTTTGTCAGCAGTTAATAAAGTGTATAGCTGCCATGTTGGAATAAATCTTACATTGTAGTGAGTGAGTCGGTGAGTCAGTCAGTGCTTTGAAGAAGTAAAAATTGGTTACTTGCATCAGCTTAATTGTTGAGGAAAGCCTGCAGTGGGTCATAGACATTAACTACTTCAAGGAACTGACAAGCATAGGTGTAGTACTGACAAAATATGGATCATAGTCAGCTCAAATTGAGGATACCACGTCCAGGCACACCTAAGGGACATAACTCAGCAAAAACTCATTTTACATAGTTCATTGTAAAAAAGGCTATATTAATTCTGATTTATTATGTATATACTCTTCAGCAGAAAATGGATAACTGATTGGCAAATAATTACTGGAATATTGTCCAAAACAAGTAGTAGTAAAACCCTGCCCACTCATGTCATCACAACCATATCGGCCATGAGTTTGCTTCTGATAACATGGTAGGTATATCTGTAGTCCCAGTAATCACTACTGATGGTAGGTGTGATATGCAGTGCCACTGAATACCAAAACAGCAAAACAACTGAAAGATAAATGTTTCTGTTGGAAGGCTCCTGCAATCAAGAAAGAATGTCAGAGCATGTAGCCCCCTCTTCTGGAGCCTCACATCAAGTAGGGGGAATCCCCATAGTTTACGTGTGGGGATTGCCCTTTCTCTCACCCATGTTGACCCAGTAGAAACTTGATAGCATATAACTGCACTGGCGTGCATTTCTATATTTCTACTGATTATTTCATTTCCATAATCATTGCTATTAGCTTTAATCAATTTTGAATGAGAATTTCTTCTAGTGTTTTCTGCTTCCATTACATATTTGCAGTATGCCTTTTAGTGCCTCACCCTCAGAATGTGGATTCGAATTACAGATGAAAAACAAAGAAAATGTACTGGAATCACTATCTTACTGAGAAAGTGTAATCCCAGATATAGCATGTTGCTTTTGACCACTTTGTGAAAGGCTTTGTGTATTTCTTATATCTTTTGGCAAACAGTTGAATTTTGTTGAGTTCATGTATTTGTGTTCATTGGTGTTTTGTTAATGTATTATATCAATTTAATCATAGGATTGTGTTCAGTCATAAAATCACGTAGATTCCTGATGATGGCGTGACCTGATAAAATACATTTTGTATGCTTCTAAAAATGATTCCTGTGAAATTTGTATTTTAATGGAATCTGAAAGCTGTTGCTAATCTGAGACAGTTGGGGTAATCTTCCAGAAGGAGAAGAAAATGGAGACGGTTCATTGTACATGAAAACTCACAGGGGACACAGTTCATACATGGACAGTGCTAGGTATAATGGAAGGTTCCGTGATATAAGTAGACATCTGTTACCCATGCAAGTCTTCGGTCCAGTTGCTGCCCCTAGTGATGACCACCTTGTTTGTTGCAGGAGTTGCTGCCACTAGTGATCATCACCTTGTTTGTTGCAGGAGTTGCTGCTGCCACCACTAGTGGTCATCACCTTGTTTGTTGCAGGAGTTGCTGCCACTAGTGATCATCACCTTGTTTGTTGCAGGAGTTGCTGCCACTAGTGATCATCACCTTGTTTGTTGCAGGAGTTGCTGCCACTAGTGATCATCACCTTGTTTGTTGCAGGAGTTGCTGCCACTAGTGATGACCACCTTGTTTGTTGCAGGAGTTGCTGCCACTAGTGGTCACCACCTTGTTTCTTGCAGGAGTTGCTGCCAGCGGTCATAACCTTGTTTGTTGCAGGAGTTGCTGCCACTAGTGATCATCACCTTGTTTGTTGCAGGAGTTGCTGCCACCAGTGATCATCACCTTGTTTGTTGCAGGAGTTGCTGCCACTCAGTGTGATCATCACCTTGTTTGTTGCAGGAGTTGCTGCCACTAGTGATCATCACCTTGTTTGTTGCAGGAGTTGCTGCCACTAGTGATCATCACCTTGTTTGTTGCAGGAGTTGCTGCCACTAGTGATCATCACCTTGTTTGTTGCAGGAGTTGCTGCCACTAGTGATCATCACCTTGTTTGTTGCAGGAGTTGCTGCCACTAGTGATCACCACCTTGTTTGTTGCAGGAGTTGCTGCCACTAGTTATCATCACCTTGTTTGTTGCAGGAGTTGCTGCCCCTTGCCAGGGTTGCTGCCACTAGTGATGACCACCTTGTTTGTTGCAGGAGTTGCTGCCACTAGTGATGACCACCTTGTTTGTTGCAGGAGTTGCTGCCACTAGTTATCACCACCTTGTTTGTTGCAGGAGTTGCTGCCACTAGTGATCACCACCTTGTTTGTTGCAGGAGTTGCTGCCACTAGTTATCATCACCTTGTTTGTTGCAGGAGTTGCTGCCACTAGTGATCATCACCTTGTTTGTTGCAGGAGTTGCTGCCACTAGTTATCACCACCTTGTTTGTTGCAGGAGTTGCTGCCACTAGTGTTTATGTTTGAGCTGCCTGTGTCTGGCATGCTGCACCCGCTACCAGACGCCTCTTCCCCAGCAATCCAGTCCCTCCAACAGACCTACAACGTACAGGTCAGCCTCAAGCAGCGTCCCCGGATGTACGTCACCACTGTCATTGTCAGGGGCTCTGTCAACAATGCCAAGGCTGTCAAGGATGCCACAGCTAAACTGATGGAACAGCTCACTGGATGTGTAAGTGAAGACTCACTCCTGTATGTCCAGATGCTGGTGGTTGATGTCCTTTATTGGTCACCGATACAAATGTTGGGTCATTAACAAACATGTTTGCAGGCACATTGAAGGTATCCTTGGCAATAATTGTTTCAAACAGTGCTGGTAGCATTGTACAATAGCACTCACTTTCATTGGGCATGGGATGTTTAAAGTGAGTGAGTGAGTTAATATTTAACGTCACATCGGCAATATCTCAGCCATATCGTGACGTGGGATGTTTAAAAATTGATCAAGGGTGTTCACTTGCACCTCATAAGCTTTTGAATATGGCTTTATGCCACTTTAGCAAAATGCCATCAAATATAACCAGAAATGGGATTTCACGGGAATAAACTTTGGGATACTTTGGCATGGCAAGCAGTTGCTGTAACCACTTGACTGCAACTGCTGATTTTGCGAAATGAAAATTGAGCCACTCCAAAATCATCAAAACATAAATGTTTTCCTTTGAGAATCATCCTAATCTGAGAAGGCATGTTTTGATCTGTAATTGTATAAATACACATGGCATCCAGTTGATTAACTTTAGATAAAAGCCAAACGCAAATTCAGCTCATGGGGAGGTTATGGAATCTGAAGGGAGATAAGCACCATATTCGGTTCCACAGTTAACCATGGAGGGGTGTAATATGGCCATACGATTATGTGGTCATGAGGATGAGCTGGTAGTGATAATGGAGCCTCTGTGCAAGAATAACATTCCTTCAGAGGTAAAGTTGAAGCTAAATTAATCAGTCACACAGACTTGTGAGCCTATGAAATGTATGTGTAAAAAGATGTTATTAAAAACTTCATCACCAAAAACTCATAATAAGGGCTTTGTTTGAAAGATTTACATCTGCTGTGAATCAGATTGACTGCCGCTTTGAGATGCATGTATTTATAGACTGTTTTCAAAGTGCCATGGTGCAGACAATTTTATTCCTGAAATTCTGACATGTTCTTATTATTAGGAGAAATATCTCTTAAATATGTTCAGCACTTTATCTATCCTCATAAAAATGACAAACTCCAGACTCAAGTTAATGTTTTTGATAAAAGTGAGTATTCTTTACATGGTATGTTTTATGGCTAATGACCTAATGAAAGAAAGAGATTATTGTGTGTGTTTTTGTCAATGTGAGAGAAATCCATTTATTTTCAGTCTGTTGGTGGTCTTGGTTTGTTTTGAGTTAACAGTTCAATTTATTTCCAGAGGATAAATGTTTTAGTGGAGAAATGATAAACTTGCAGTCTCCTTTTTATAATTAATGCTGTGAATGTCAGTGTTTACGTCAAAAGAGAAAAGTTTAGTTCAATATATGAATGACATGCTTAACATGTTGGCAATACTAGTCTCAAAACAACATTTGTTTGTGTTGTCTGTGAAAATGTTGTTGCATTAGCATCAAGTAAAGGTGAGGTGAGGTGAAATTGGGTTTAACGTCGTGCTTGAGAATATTTCGCTCATATGACGACATGCATGCGTGTGTATGTGTATGTGCGGCTGCTTGTACTAGCCCAGACTTAAGCTGGTTTTATAGTGCTAGCCCACTGAGATACCATGCCGCAGTGAAGCATGAATACCCCACTCAGGCACATTATACTGACTCCGAGCCGACCAGTCCTTGTTGTACCCATTAATGCCGAGGGCCAGCCAGGCAGGGACCAACAAGTACCATATTTTACCGTCTTTTGGTATGAAGCGGGCAGGGATCGAACCCGCGACCTTCCGCTCTCCGGGCGGACGCTCTAACCACTACACCACAGAGGCGGTGCATCAAGTAAAGATCCTAAGAGATGACTGTATGTGATCAGGGAATTTCATGACATGGACTTGGTTTGAATGCATGGTCATAATGTCAACCAGTGTTTCTTCTGACTAGGGCTTGTCTAGTTGCAGGCCACCAGGTTGGAATTTTGATTCTGATTATGGCCTGAAACAAGAAACATGTTTAATCTAGTGTTGTATATGTGTTTATTGGTCGATCTCTGATTGTGTGTTTCTGTGTCCAGAACACCTTGGCAGTCAGCATGCAGCTGGAGATTGCCCAACAGCACCACCTGTTCATTATTGGCCGTGCAGGTGTCAACATCAAGCAGATCATGCAGCGGACAGGGGCCAGTATACACTTCCCCGATCCCAACACCGCCACGCAACAACGAAAAGGAACAGTCTATATCACTGGAAGTATTGAAAGTGTGTTCTTAGCCCGACAACAACTCATCGTAAGTTGAATTAATTAATTTTTAGATTTACAGTTGTGATGGTCTTTGATGATGTCGAACGTACTGTGTCTTAAAGGAAAAGCTTGGTCCTAGTGTATTGTATTCTTTAGTCATCAGTTCATGGCTCTGTCGAACTTTGGATAAATTTTACACAGGTCCTTTCAACTTTGACCTAACAGTGTTTGACAGTATGTAATAAAGTATTTGTGAGATATCAGTAAGTTTAATTGAAAAAGGCAGTTATGTGCAAAAGGCAACGTGTTGTGAAATAGTCCATCAAGAGGATTGGGGTCTGGGAGATGCCGAAGTGCCATTTTGTAAAACCGGTCACTGATTATTGAGGCAGAAAAGGTCCTTGTGGCCATGTTATTGGTGAACAGTTGGATGTAATGTGTGACTGTACTGATTGTGTGTCACTGTCCGACAATGGTGAAGATTGTTGTTACTCGTGCCGTCCTACAGGTGAAGGCAGATAATGACAGTATTGTCATAACTTACTGATGTGGGATTTGACCTATCTGCCATTGTTTTTGTACATGTTCTTTCTAATTTTTTCTTACATATTTCTTTTCAGGGTTGTCTCCCCTTAGTTCTAATGTTTGATGTCAAAGAAGACATAGATTTGGAACAAGGTAGGTATATTTATCATTCAATTGGTAGTTCTCAGCAGGATAAAGCCAACAGATATTTTTGGTATCTGTTGGGATCATATATGGATATTGATGCCAACTAGAGAGATCATATGCAAATTTTGTGGACTACTTTCACAGTGTAAACAAACATGGCGTCACACCCATCTATAGGCGATCGTGTCCGGATTGAATGTCGTGGTTACGGTTCTGTCCGTGCTTGGATCCAAGAAAATCAAACTCAAGGTGAATAGTAGGGGAGTATCAGGGAGATATATATGCATACATAGAGGTACTGCAAGGAAAACATGTTTAACAATGTTTAACAATGTTAAGGAAATCTAATCACTGAGAGTTAAAATGCATGAATATGTAATATGAACATTAGGCCAGTGATACACTATAGCAACAATGTTTATTCCTAATGTAGGATATTAACCATCCCAAAACACCCAGGTGTCATAGCCTATATATACTAGTATGCCTATGTATCATGTGCAAGAAGGATGTCTGTTTTATAAAAAAATATAAATACAGCATTTATTGCTGTAAGTGAATTGTTACTTCATACCTAAATCAGGATATAATTTATCAACTAAAATGGACAGCCAAATATTTTGTATGAAACCCAGAATTGTCTGATGTGATTATATGAATGATGTTGCAACTTGTTTTTGAGATTTTAACAAGTAGGGGGCTCAATATCATTCGATTGCAGAGGCCATTTTCCCACTCTCAACATCATGGGGAGTTCTTTGTGATGAACCAATGGTGATGAGCAAAAATAAAGTTGAAGATGTTCAGCTCATAACTTGTCATTATAATCTATTTCAATGGCATATCTGAAAAGCTAGAATCACCACAACTCTTTTGCTTGTCTCAATAGTTAACTGAAATGGATTGGGTGATCAGTGTTAGTCCTTGTTCTGATGCTCATAATATCACCCACTGGTTTGTGGGCTTGAATATTTACAAGGTACCATGCATATCGATATGTCTGGTATATTGCCAACAGCAGCAAATATAACAAAAATAGAAAAAAGATGGGCCAGCCTGTATTCACATAACTTTAGCATTGAGAAGATATTTGCAGAACCTTTGTTTGTGAGTGAGTGAGTGATTTGGGTTTTAAGGCATTTGAACAGGATTTCAGTTGGATCTCAATGTTAGGGAAAGCTTGAAGTGATTCAGGTGTCAGATATTATCATTTTGGTGAAATCCATCAGCGCAGGTATGGTAGTGATTGCTTGTCACCTCAATGTTAGGGAAAGCTTGAAGTGATTCAGGTGTCAGATATTATCATTTTGGTGAAATCCATCAGCGCAGGTATGGTACTGATTGCTTGTCACCTCAATGTTAGGGAAAGCTTGAAGTGATTCAGGTGTCAGATATTATCATTTTGGTGAAATCCATCAGCGCAGGTATGGTAGTGATTGCTTGTCACCTCAATGTTAGGGAAAGCTTGAAGTGATTCAGGTGTCAGATATTATCATTTTGGTGCAACCCATCAGTGCAGTTATGGTACTGACAAACCCAGAATCACTATCAGGCAACATTATATGGGAATTGAACCCACAATCACCAAAATTGTTCAACAATAACTGTTTTCTTGTATACAGGTTCTCCTCTCGGCCAAATTGTTTGTGAAGTTACAGGCAGAACAACCACTGTCAGATTACCACCATTGATACCTTGAAATAGGCTTTAGTTGACAAGGCTAGGTTACATGTATAATAAATGCCTTAATTTGACTCATTAGAAGTAATATCTTCTCGTCTCACTATCATATGTCAACATAATATTTCCATGGTCACAACCATGGGAGCCTAGACAGTGACTTGTTTCAGAAACAATTTTTTTGATCATTGCATCAAAATATTGTGAAGTTATAAATTACAGTGGAAACCTGATAAGTAAAATTTCAAGGGACTCGCCAAAATTGTTTACTTATCAGGTATTTTACTTATCCAAACTTATCAAAACCTGCAAATGACAACCATATGCATGTATATGTATACAAAAGAATAACAGACAAAATTTGTAAGTAATATGACATGTTTTATTTCATAAAATTTCATTGAGTTAAGCCAGGGAGCTGGAGACTGACACGTGCCCCTCATATCAGATTATGTGGTGATCGCTAATTTAGTTATCTGGTCTTTTTCGTTAAGTAATTTACTTCTAGGGACTGTGTGAAGACGTTTAGTTAAGCGGTATTGTTTACTTATCTGAGTTTAATTAACCGGACTCTAATAGTGATAATTAATGAAGAAATTTGCCGGGACCAAAGAATAGTGTTTACTTATCCGGTCTGTTTAGTTAAGCGGTCTTTACTTAGGCAGTTTCCACTGTATTGAGTATGTTTAACCCGAATCAACAGTAGTTTTAAATGTGGGTCCAGCTCATTGCTATTTCCATGATGATATGATCACAATTCAATGCTTAATATGCATATTAATATTTGTCTGCATTTTCATGATTTGAAATTATTAATGAGGATTTTGTATTCTTGTGACATGAAAAAGTTATCACCCACTCCATATGAACTGATGCCAGAATTTGGCATCTAAACATCAGCACATACGATCCTACAAGATAATTACAGAATTAAATGTGGCATCTTACTTCATGGTTGTTGCCTGTGTTTCCATGGGAAACATCTTGACAAATATAGACATTTGTACCTTGAGTAAAACTTCTGTTCTACAGGAACGTCTATTTTTTTAATTGATTAAAATGGACATGATGATTATTTTATTACATTTACATTTGTACATTTACGTTCTTGTTTCCTGTTTTTGTTGTGCAGTCAGAGGGTTGATTTCAATTAAAAAGATCAAGCAATGTTATTAAATGTCAAGGATAAACATGTGCTATTTATCACAAGTAAATACTCCTTCTCTGTGAGTAATATGTCTGAATTATTATGGCTAATACACTAAATACATCTTAAATCTTACACAAAAGAAGTCTCACAAACTACAACCACAACTCAAGTAGTAGAGTTATCTTATTGCTCGTAATAAATGACATATCTTCAGCAACAGAACTAAACTGATATATTATTAGGGGATGACCCTTGTTCATAAAAAGACTTGATTTTAATTGAGAAGGATGGAAAAGATTCAGCAATTAATCAGTAGAGACAAGAAATCTTATCTTAAAAGCTTTAAAACCCACCCATAACCTCAAGGGCTTGGCAAATTGCCCACAGCAGAAAAAACACAATGGCCAAGGCTGCAACAAGCATGTTTATATAGGATTTATTGCTTGTCTGGTACAAAGAATTAATTGTTGGCTTGTTTTGGTGTTGAGAGGCTAATATGTGCCACTTGGTGTTTCAGTGGGTAATTAGTATGTTATCAACTGCAGGGAGTCAAAGTTTTGTCAGGGAGGTACACGGGATTGGGTTATTATTTCACCATTGTTTGTATTTGATCAGAGCATGGTTAACTTTGTGATATTGTTGAAATGATCAAAATATAATAACAGAAATGTTTATTGTTTTAAGTGAATTCCAGTAAATTCTTGAATATCTGAGCATGAAATATGCACCATGACGGAAAGTGCATGTAAAATCTCTAAATCATCATCATTATCACTGAGTGCAATTCTGTTCTTTTGATAAATCCTGAACAAATTGGTGTGAGTTAACAAGAGTAGTGCAATTCATCACATGTTGGATGTTGGTACAGAGACAAATTTGGCCAAATGTATCTCAGCAGAGATGGCATTCTTTGAGCATGAATATACAGATGTAATTTAGAAAGTGATCAGATGTCATTAATGTTATATTTAGGAATAGATTTTCTCAGTAAAGTACAGATTCTAGTAATTTTAGGGTTGATTCCTATCTAGGATTTGAACTCACATTATCAGAGTCAGGCACCTAATTGCCAATAAACAACATCCGCAATCTGGAATTTAGTGGAAGCCATGTCGGCTGAGTGGGTTAGATCACTGACTTTGTCTCTGACTCAGCACCAGAACAGAACAAGAATATGTACTTTTCTGGCAAAGTTTGGTCCCAATAATATAATATTTAATATATTTAATAAATTATAATGTAATATATATTGATTACTGCTCATAATAAACTGAATGGAGTAGCAGTAAAAATATGTAAAAATTGTTGTTGTGTGGTTCCAGGTCGAGTCCAACAACTGACTGAGCAGCTGGATGTGTTCATCAGTGTGAAACCCAAGCCCAAACAGCCAAGCAAGGTGAGGAAGCTTATCCTGCTCTGAACTCATCATTAGCCCATTGCATACAATTGGTCTCACTTGTTGCATATTGTACCTTTGTAAGCTACAGACCAGAAGAATTTAAAACTGTCATCTGTTTTGTTCTGTATTATACCCATATGCGCTGAAGACTAGATGCATGTTTGGCAGTCAGTTGTGTCTGCTCAGTACTGTACTGTAGTGAATTGATAAATGTAGAGTCACATGTTCCTGCTCCGTACTGTATCCAAACTTGATTATTTACAGACCGCCGCCATATTGCTAGAATATTGCTGAGTGCGGCGTAAAACTAAACTCACTGACTCACTTTGTACTGTATCATGGTGTCCTGCAGGCTAGGTATTTGAAGATCCATCATTGGGTTAATAGGTCACTGTGACCTAGATTTAGAACTGTCAAATCATTATCCCACTCGAGCAAATCTGCTGTGACCTAAAAATGATATATACTCCTCAGAATGTCTAGGAAGTGGGGTGGTGGGGTAGCCTAGTGGTTAAAGCGTTCACTCGTCACGCCAAAGACCTGGCTTCGATTCCCCACATGGATACAATGTGTGAAGCCCATTTCTGGTGTCCCCTGCCATGATATTGCTGGAATATTGCTAAAAGTAGTGTAAAAATAAACTCACTCACTCACTCTCAGGAAGTAATATTTTTAGAAACCATTTGAAATCTGTTAAACATCATGCAATGGGGTTTTTAAGTTTGTGCTATCAGCCCATAGCAACAGATGCTAGAACATTATTTCTAATTATCCATTAAGCCTTTAAGAAAACTTATCATCAGTGTAATGATTTATGTAACATTTCTATTACCATGGTTTATCAACAGGGGAATTTCTACATGTCAGTGACATATAAACTTGTTATTGCATTGCTGGTGACATTTACATTGACCTCTGGGAGAGTGTTTATGTTTCTAACACTGGTTGTGCCTGTCATTTATGTCAGTGTTATAAAAATTATGATAGACATGTAAATAAATATTTCAAGAAGTGATTTGGAAAAGGGTGACGTTTTAAGGCATGTTCAGTTATCATTTGATTTTGAAGTTGATGTTTTGACCAGCTGTTGGTTTTATGCATCTGTTCTGGTTATTATGTTTAGTTAGCATGTGATAATGCTTGAATAAATGTCTTTCTACACACTCCACAGTTTCTAAAATTACACAGGTGCCGTGGCAAGTATTGCTGTAAAGATATACATGTATAAAAAAATATATAAAAAAATAGAATGATTATAAGATAATTAAGAACGATAACATTTCAGGTTTAGAAGTTCGTGCTTACGTTGAATCAGTGGTAGTTAACTAATAAACTCACAGTAAGGATGAGCAATATTTTACCAATTGTAGCAAAGTTTGGGTGTTAATTTCAACACCATTATCAAGTAAGATGTATGCAGCAAAATCTTCATTGGAGAGTGGACACAGAAGAGTTGATTGTTATATCTTGTCAACCTGTTAGTAATGCAAGGACCTCTGGGGATTTGGGGTAAACGTGGTCACAGTCACCTGTTTGTAATGCATGGACCCTTGGGGATTCTGGGTTAGAAGGAACCCCAAGGGGATTCTGGGTTAGAAGTGGTCCCCATCTACCTGTTAGTAATGCAGGGACCTCTGGAGATTCTGGGTAAGAAGGGACCCCTGGGGATTCTGGGTTAGAAGTGGTCCCCATCTACCTGTTAGTAATGCAGGGACCTCTGGAGATTCTGGGTAAGAAGGGACCCCTGGGGATTCTGGGTAAAAGTGGTCCCAGCTACCTGTTAGTAATGCAGGGACCTCTGGAGATTCTGGGTAGAAGGGACCCCTGGGGATTCTGGGTAAAAGTGGTCCCAGCTACCTGTTAGTAATGCAGGGACCTCTGGAGATTCTGGGTAAGAAGGGACCCCTTGGGATTCAGGGTTAGAAGTGGTCCCCATCTACCTGTTAGTAATGCAGGGACCTCTGGAGATTCTGGGTAAGAAGGGACCCCTGGGGATTCTGGGTAAAAGTGGTCCCAGCTACCTGTTAGTAATGCAGGGACCTCTGGAGATTCTGGGTAAGAAGGGACCCCTGGGGATTCTGGGTAAAAGTGGTCCCAGCTACCTGTTAGTAATGCAGGGACCTCTGGAGATTCTGGGTAAGAAGGGACCCTGGGGATTCTGGGTAAAAGTGGTCCCAGCTACCTGTTAGTAATGCAGGGACCTCTGGAGATTCTGGGTAAGAAGGGACCCCTGGGGATTCTGGGTAAAAGTGGTCCCAGCTACCTGTTAGTAATGCAGGGACCTCTGGAGATTCTGGGTAAGAAGGGACCCCTGGGGATTCTCGGGTTAGAAGTGGTCCCCATCTACCTGTTAGTAATGCAGGGACCTCAGAGATTCTGACCCCTGGGATTCTGGGTTAGAAGGGATCCCCCTGGGGATTCTGGGTTAGAAGTGGTCCCCATCTACCTGTTAGTAATGCAGGGACCCCAGGGGATTCTGGGTTAGAAGGGACCCTGGATTCTGGGTAGAAGGGATTCTTGGTAAAAGTGGTCCCCCATCTACCTGTTAGTAATGCAGGGACCCCAGGGGATTCTGGGTTAGAAGGGACCCCTGGGAATTCTGGGTAAAAGTGGTCCCAGCTACCTGTTAGTAATGCAGGGACCCCAGGGGATTCTGGGTTAGAAGGGACCCCTGGGAATTCTTGTAAAAGTGGTCCCAGCTACCTGTTAGTAATGCAGGGACCTCTGGAGATTCTGGGTTAGAAGTGGTCCCCATCTACCTGTTTGTAATGCAGGGACCTCTGGACATTCTGGGTTAGAAGGGACCCCTGGGAATTCTGGGTTAGAAGTGGTCCCCATCTACCTGTTAGTAATGCAGGGACCTCTGGAGATTCTGGGTTAGAAGTGGTCCCCATCTACCTGTTAGTAATGCATGGACCTCTGGAGATTCTGGGTTAGAAGGGACCCCTGGGAATTCTGGGTTAGAAGTGGTCCCCATCTACCTGTTAGTAATGCAGGGACCTCTGGAGATTCTGGGTTAGAAGTGGTCCCCATCTACCTGTTAGTAATGCAGGGACCTCTGGAGATTCTGGGTTAGAAGGGACCCCTGGGAATTCTGGGTTAGAAGCGTTCTGTGATAGCAGCAGTCCCCAGATACTGATGCTGGTTGTAAGAGGTGACTTCATAGATGGGGTGGGCAGTGGGGTAGTCCTGTGGTTAGAACGTTTGGTCGTTGAGCCAAAGACCCGGGTTCGATTCCCCACATTAGTTTAATGTGTGAAGCCCATTTCTGGTGTCCCCCGCCATGATATTGCTGGAATATTGCTAGAAGCGACATGAAACTAAACTCACTCATTCACTCATAGATAGGGTGGTGAGGCTTAGTCATGTGGTTGATTGCATGTCAATGTAACCCAACAGTTTGGTTTGTTGCTAACAATGTCAGTCACCGGATTGTCTGATCCAGACTTGATTATTTGCTAAAGTATTCAGCTCGTCACGCTGAAGACCCGGGTTCGATTCCCCACATGTGTACAATGTGTGAAGCCCATTTCTGGTGTCCCTCGCCGTGATATTGCTGGAATATTGCTAAAAGCGGCGTAAAAAAATACCTCACTCACTCACTTGATTATTTGCAGGCAACTCTCAAATAGCTGAAATATTGTTGAGAGCAGGTTCAGCAACAAACAGCTATACTTCATGTCATTAGTGTCATTATCATCTTGTCATGAGTGTCATTATCATCTTGTCATGAGTGTCATTATCATCTTGTCATGAGTGTCATTATCATCTTGTCATGAGTGTCATTATCTTCTTGTCATGGGTGTCATTATCATCTTGTCATGAGTGTCATTATCATCTTGTCATGAGTGTCATTATCATCTTGTCATGAGTGTCATTATCATCTTGTCATGAGTCATTATCATCTTGTCATGAGTAATTATCATCTTGTCATGAGTCATTATCATCTTGTCATGAGTCATTATCATCTTGTCATGAGTGTCATTATCTTCTTGTCATGGGTGTCATTATCATCTTGTCATGAGTGTCATTATCATCTTGTCATGAGTCGCATTATCTTCTTGTCATGAGTCGCATTATCTTCTTGTCATGAGTCATTATCTTCTTGTCATTAGTGTCATTATCATCTTGTCATTAGTGTCATTATCATCTTGTCATGAGTGTCATTATCATCTTGTCATGAGTCGCATTATCTTCTTGTCATGAGTCGCATTATCTTCTTGTCATGAGTCATTATCTTCTTGTCATGGGTGTCATTATCATCTTGTCATGAGTGTCATTATCATCTTGTCATGAGTGTCATTATCATCTTGTCATGAGTGTCATTATCTTCTTTTCATGAGTCATTATCATCTTGTCATGAGTAATTATCATCTTGTCATGAGTCATTATCATCTTGTCATGGGTGTCATTATCATCTTGTCATGAGTCGCATTATCTTCTTGTCATGAGTCATTATCATCTTGTCATGAGTAATTATCATCTTGTCATGAGTGTCATTATCATCTTGTCATGAGTAATTATCATCTTGTCATGAGTCGCATTATCTTCTTGTCATGAGTCATTATCATCTTGTCATGAGTAATTATCATCTTGTCATGAGTGTCATTATCATCTTGTCATGAGTCATTATCATCTTGTCATGAGTCGCATTATCTTCTTGTCATGAGTCATTATCATCTTGTCATGAGTAATTATCATCTTGTCATGAGTGTCATTATCATCTTGTCATGAGTGTCATTATCATCTTGTCATGAGTCGCATTATCTTCTTGTCATGAGTCGCATTATCTTCTTGTCATGAGTCATTATCTTCTTGTCATTAGTGTCATTATCATCTTGTCATGAGTGTCATTATCATCTTGTCATGAGTAATTATCATCTTGTCATGAGTCATTATCATCTTGTCATGAGTAATTATCATCTTGTCATGAGTGTCATCATCTTGTCATTAGTGTCATTATCATCTTGTCATTAGTGTCATTATCATCTTGTCATTGCTTTCACATACATCCTCTGCATAGCATGACTAGATAACCTCTTCATGATAGTGGCTGTGAAACCTGGTGAAACATGTCTAAGTTGCAAAAATGGAAACTAAACTTCTGACATGAACTCCAGGATTCAGTGGAAAGAACCTCCAGAATGTATGTGTGCTGTAGCATTGAAAGTAGGAGATCTTAAGCTGTAAGTACATCGGACAATTTCAAAAGAATAAATGACTATGCCAAAGAATGAGGACGTGAATCTCTGCCTTTGAAAAGTAATAAAAGTTGCTATCTTTATGGCGTCAGTTGTGTTGATAAACTGTTAGGAGGAAATTCCAAATTAACAGATAAAGGAAAAAACATCCCAAACCTTGTTATGAATGTGTGTCTGTTTTTCAAGTAGAATGTGCGATTCAACCTAAATTACCTGTCAGTAATGGTGGAGGCAAGAGGGGCTCTTGAAGAACAACTGTGCCAATTGCATCCTTCTTCCACAGGCACACAATCATGCTGCCATGATTTAGTTTAGGTTGATGTGTTAGCTTAAAAAAGACCTTTTAAAGTTGTTTATTCAAGCAGATTTGAATTTGTTTGTCAAAATTATGTTTAAAATGAGTTTGTTAGAAAGAATGAAGTAATGTTTGTGATAAGAGTATGTAACACATAACAGATACATCTCAAGAGTTGTTGAAAATGGGAACTTTACACATTTCACCATACATATTCATTTAGAACGATTACTTGATTGAAAAATACATTTTTATTGGATAGCCAGTTTGGTATTTTAGTTTGGCTTGTCCACAGTTGATCATAGGTCCATGTTTGATTCCTAAAATTGTTAAATTTTCTGTCCTTGCTATGAAAATATTGAAATGAACTACATTTCACCAAATTATCAGAACACAAAGGTCTGGATTAATTCCAGAAGCAGTTAAAATGTACAAAACACATATTTCTTAAAAAAGATAACTTGAAATGGCAAACTTTATATGTTCTTCATCATGGTATTTTTCCTGAACAGTAAAATAGAATGTAAGCTATGATTATTTCAATGTGATATTTCCTGGTTGTTTGTTGTTCAATGAGTTTCAATTGTTTGGTTTTATAGGTCAAGTTGACATTATCAAAATGAGCTTATGTCATTGGTTTTCATCTATTACATCTGTCAATGAGCATTGACTCTTCAAAACAAAGGATATCATATTCCGAGAACATGTCCCACACATAAGCGACTACATTGGAGTATAACTTTCATTTGCAAAACTCCTCCCATCATCTCAGAATGTTTTAGAAAAGAATATATCCTTCACCCCATCTTCATTTCCTGCAAAACAGTTTGGACATACTTCTTTCAAGTGTTTGAAGGATATCCATCATAATTTTCTTTACAATGAAGTAGGATCAAATCTTTGAAGGGCATTTAGAAGTGGAATACACATAGGAAAAGCAAGATTTTATGGATGTCAACTTGCTTTTCCAATGAAGTAGTTTCTATATTTTGAAAAAGAAAATACAGGTGGTCACCTCAGTAGGTGTCTGAAGTAGTGTATGTGAATTCAGTTGAGTATCTGATTGCTTTGAAATGCATATTAATTTTGATATGCATTTTGAGTTCATTATTATCATTAACACACTGTATTGTAATGAAGAAAGAGTAAATATGTATAAAACCCTCTGAGTATTGCATTGTAAAAACACCTTCAACAGCGATCAATTAAATTTTCACATTTTTCCAAGGCTCTCACAATTATTATTCCACTGTGATAAAGAATGTCTCAAAATGTTCAAAGAAGCAGAAAAACATAAATAAAAACTGTATGGTTCCAGGACAGATCACATTTCATAAGTATATTTCATGTCACTTAAGGTGAGCTTCTGTACCTCTACTGATGAGGCTTGTTCAAGAAAATGACATGAATATGTCACAGGTTTTCTTTCACTTGAACAAAAAAGTTTCCATTTGTCAGAATAAAAAGAAGTACATTTCAGATTAGTTTTTGAACATTTTTCCTAATGTTAAGGTTTGACATAGTCAGAAAACCAGTTTTTAATGATGTCTCTTCTTATCACCATGTCTTGGACATGTTTATATAATCCATCACTGTCGTTAATATCTAACAATATTTTATGTAAGCAGAGATAAAATTGATGTCAGTGAGTAATATCTTATATTGGATGATAAGGAAAAATCCTTCACTTTTTCCACGTGAAACTGACGAGCAGACGTCAAGCTTAACTCCTGGATCTATCATGGGAAATGCACGAATGTTTGTTTGGATTGAAACTTGTACATTTCATTCATCACAACATCTGAAATGTAGAAAAATCCCACCTCATCTATGCTTGCTTTCTTTCAAAAATATTTTTATTCGTGTTGTTTGATTAAATAAAGATTTTTTTTATGGGATGTGTTTTCACACATGTGCTATATCTGAACATCTGTGATGAAAGTTTTGTCACACATTGAGAGGGTGTAACCACATTGCAAGAGTTTGATGTATCAATATTAATCAGTCAAGATATTATGAATGTTAATGTTTTGAGTCTTTCACTGATGAAAGTTTTGTTACACAGTGATAGGGTGTAATCACTTTGCAAGGTCTGATGTATCAATATACCGCGGGAAACAAATAAGGGAACACTAGTTCCTGGCAGTGTTCCTATATCTATTTTCAGATTTCCTCCCACAGCTCTATTCACATCTGGTGATGAAAACTGGAATAAATTAAAGGAACATTTCAATTTTCCTGTGTTCCTCTATTTGTTTATCTCAGTATATTAATCAGTGAATAATGAAACCTTTACTACAGAGGTGTCTCTCACTCACTTCGTGTACTTACGTAGTGTCTGTTTACATGGATGTTTGTGTCTGATACACCATCACTCACTTGTGTACTTACGTAGTGTCTGTTTACATGGATGTTTGTGTCTGATACACCATCACTCACTCGTGTACTTACGTAGTGTCTGTTTACATGGATGTTTGTGGCTGATACACCATCACTCACTCGTGTACTTACGTAGTGTCTGTTTACATGGATGTTTGTGTCTGATACACCATCACTCCTCGTGTACTTACGTAGTGTCTGTTTACATGGATGTTTGTGTCTGATACACCATCACTCGTGTACTTCACGTAGTGTCTGTTTACATGGATGTTTGTGTCTGATACACCATCACTCGTGTACTTACGTAGTGTCTGTTAACATGGATGTTTGTGTCTGATACACCATCACTCGTGTACTTACGTAGTGTCTGTTAACATGGATGTTTGTGTCTGATACACCATCACTCGTGTACTTACGTAGTGTCTGTTAACATGGATGTTTGTGTCTGATACACCATCACTCGTGTACTTACGTAGTGTCTGTTAACATGGATGTTTGTGTCTGATACACCATCACTCATTCGTGTACTTACGTAGTGTCTGTTAACATGGATGTTTGTGTCTGATACACCATCACTCACTCGCTGATACACCATACTTACGTACGTAGTGTCTGTTAACATGGATGTTTGTGATACACCATACACCATCACTCTGTTAACATGGATGTTTGTGTCTGATACACCATTACCGTGGTTACGTAGTGTCTGTTAACATGGATGTTTGTGTCTGATACACCATCACTACTTACGTAGTGTCTGTTAACATGGATGTTTGTGTCTGATACACCATCACTCACGTCGCTTACTTCACGAGTGTCTGTAACATGGATGTTTGTGTCTGATACACCTGTTAACATGGATGTTTGTGTCGATACAGTGTCTGTCTGTTAACATGGATGTTTGTGTCTGATACACCATCACTCACCTCGTACTTACGAGTGTCTGTTAACATGGATGTTTGTGGCTGATACACTCGCTTACCATCACTCAGGTGACTATCGCTTAACTTAAGTAGTGTCTGTTAACATGGATGTTTGTGGCTGATACAACATAACTTAATAATGATGCTGTTTTTAAGTTGATGATCAAATATACATTTTCTAGCCATGTGTTTTATGCTTTTCCTGATGACTTTCTATGGAAAGTGCGCGGTGGGGTAGCCAAGTGGTTAAAGCAAGCGTTTGTCACACTGAAGACCTGGGTCCGATTCCCCACACGGGTACAATGTGTGAAGCCCATTTCACATGCTGCCGTGATAAAACTGAATTTGTTCACTCACTGTGGAAAGTGTAGCGTGTAATCATGACATTTGTAATGAGCCCTTCCAATATAGACTGGTTACTTGATGGCATTGAATGGCATCACTTTACTATGTATGGAGGTACATTGTTTGGCTTGTTGTTGAGTAAGTCACTTTTAGCCCGTAGAAGTAGCCATTCTTTAAAATGCACAATATGTTCTCACAAAGAGAGTAATAAAAGTAGTATTTTCTCATTTTTTCCAATTCCTTGTCACATAGAACTATGGTACAAAAAACCTGGTCATGTATAATTATGTGTGAGAGGGTGTGTAAGAGAGTATGTATGTGTCTGTGTGTGTGTCTGTGTGTGCGCGTGCATGTGCGTGCGTGCGTGCATGTGCGTGTGTGTGTGTGTGTGTGTGTATTGTAGGTTGTCACAGAAATTATTAACACCAAGCTCTAATGTAATCATTTATATTTCAGTCTGTGATTGTCAAAAGTATTGAGCGCAATGCGTCCAACATGTACCTGGCCCGGCAGCTGCTCCTGGGTATCGACAAGGACTCCGAGAAGAACCTCACTGCCTTCTCCAACACCGGCAATGGGGACATGTCCTCTCTAGCACACACTGGCCTCGGTCTCACTGCCCTCGGTGAGTAGACTACACCACCTTCACATACAACTTTAGGGATAACAGTTTCTGGGTTATCACATTTAGTGAAGTTACCATGTCCTCTCTAGCACACACTGGCCTCGGTCTCACTGCCCTGGGTGAGTAGACTACACCACCTTCACACACAAATTTAGGGATAACAGTTTCTGGGTTATCACATTTAGTGAAGTTACCATGTACAAATTTAGCACAATTTGTCTGAAGCTGATCTTGGGTCCAAATCCCAGGAATAATAATCCTTATTCATGCAGCACCGTACCTCAAAATAACGTCATGGCTTCCTCAATCAAGTTTACCTGACACACTATGTTATGACTTGAATACTGTTAAAGGCAGCATAAAACCAAATACCATATACATGGGTCTAAACATATTTGGTACAAAATATCCATCAGCTTCACAAACAACTTCATCAGTGCTGAGTATATTTTCTTGTCTCCACACAATACAAACCATGTTTAGCTTACATTGTGATTGAAAATGGCAGAAAACATGTCACTCTTACTGTCACAAACTCAAACTTCCAACTCAGATAATTACTGAATTCCTTTGTAATGAAGATGTCTAGAATCGTGTCCTGTACTACAAGAATATATCTAAAGAATCAATCACTATTCTGGCCAGACATCCTATTATATATTTTTTTTAAATAATTTAGTCTGATTGTCAACATGGCCGCCATGACAGCCATAATGAAAACGTCAGTTTGACACATTATTCAGCTAATGCTTGTGATCTGTGGATATAATGTATATTAGCGCACATTCTCTGACCCAGCTGCCAGTGAAAGAGTGAGGATGTGACAATTATAATAACCATAAGTTGGGGAAGTGAGGGTGGTGTGTTACAGAGAAAGTTACACACGTCATATTTTCCAGATGTGAATTTGAGCATCATTTAGGGACTAGTAATTTATTTTGAAGTTAGGGGTCGGGAATTTAAAATGCTTTATGTATTTAAGGGGAAGCACGAAAATTTGTTACAGAAATAGGGATTGAGGGTAGAGAGGTTTTAGCAAAATGTATAGACTTAAAACCACCCCCTGCCCAAATGTATGTTGAATGATCAATCCCTTCTACCCATGAAGAATGGTTGTGATAATAATGCCAGCAGGATATAGGTGAGCCTCAGCGGCTTGTAAAGGCCACATTTTCTTTTATGTTTGATAAGATTGATATGATATTCACAGCTCCCACAAAAACGCTGTCAATCAGCCTTGTAAGATACGGGCATGTCACGCATGTTAGATCCCAAGTCACTGATATGCTTGGATCACTGAGCTAATATTTAATGTTGGCATTAGCGGCCCCAATGTTGATATCGTCTTGTTTAAATAGATGTAATGGCTGTGATTTATTGCAACAAATGATTAAATTATATGTCACATTTGGTTAGATTACATCACACCATGCTGTTATCATGGCATAGAATTATGTGCAATTTATCAAGTCGAACAGATGTAACAAATTCTCCTTTGAGTCATTTAAACATGGTAGCTACACATGGCAATATTGAGTAAGTGAGGGAGTTGGGTTGATGCTGCTTTGAACAGTTTTTCAGTTATATCAGAATATGGGAGGAGAGCTTAAAGTGACAAACGTTTTAGACCTTTACCACACAGGGTGTTGTACGAATCGATCGGTGATTGTCACTGCCATTCCTTAACATTAACTTATGACAGCCTTAGCGTTAAGATTGCTTCTACAATGGCGGCCTTGGTGTACAAAGAAGCATGGGGATGGAACTGAGAAGCCCAGAAACATAATTGTGGTGAACCAGGGTTAAAATAAATAATTATAATGACGGGTTCGGTGACCCATCAGTGTAAACATTGCCTGTAATAATAATGTATGTTTGCTGATCCAATTCCAAGATTAACTGGATTGGAATTACTCTTCATCAACCTATGCTTGTTTTGTGAGGACTTACAGGCTTAGAACTACTCAGTTGGTTGATACATGCCATTGAATTCCAATTATGAGAGGGCAGTGACTGCAGAGGGAGTTAGATACAACAGCATCGCTTGTCTTGCAGTGACTGCAGAGGGAGTTAGATACAACAGCATCGCTTGTCTTGCAGTGATTGCAGAGGGATTTAGTTTCATATTTGTCTTAATTGGTACACTGGGATGGTGGGGTAGCCTAGTGGTTAAAGCGTTCGCTTGTCATGCTGAAGACACGGGTTCGAATCCCCACATGGGTACAATGTGTGAAGCCCATTTCTGGTATTCCCTGCTGTGATGTTGCTGGAATATTGCTAAAAGTGGCGTAAAATCAAACTCAATCAGTCAATCCAATTATGAGATTTATGTTCTTAATATCAGTTACTTGATTGTCTGGTCAAAATTTACATACTGCTATTATGTGTGGCGTTAAACAACAAAGTGAGCAGTGTGTTGAGGCTTTCTGTATGAGAGATGACAGTAGGACAGTTCATGTTTGTGTGATGCCTGCATTCAATCAGGAAATCAAGGTCTGTTATCAAAACAATACAGATATAATATGAAAAGCCAGCATTGGGGAATTATGCACAGTGTTGTGACACTATGGGAGATGTAATTATTTCATCATGTTCTTGTGTAATTTTAAGCAAGCCATGAATAAATAATTTGTTTATAGATATTTTTACACAGGCTATCTTGAATTCTAAAATTTGAGGTGAAACTCAGATAATCCCCACTTGTTTATTACTACTTTCATCCTTGATGGGAAGGGGGGCGGTGGTGTAGCCTAGTGTTGGCTTGTCACACCGAAGACCCGGGTTCGAATCCCCACATGGGTACAATGTGTGAAGCCCATTTCTGGTGTCCCCCGCCGTGATGTTACTGGAATATTGCTAAAAGCGGCATAAAACCAAACTCAGTCAGTCAGGCTTGATGGGAAGGTCTATAATCCGGTATATACTTAAGAACATTTCCATGTATTGTGATAAGCTCTCATAGGCGAGACTTCATGAAGTTGTTCCAGGGCTGACATTATCTATGTTTAAGATGGGGAAGTTGGTGTTCAGAGGGACTTGGGTGTGTTTGGTATCACCCAAAATATAACTTTGGGTGGATCGTGAAAAACACACCTATTAAGAGAGGTTCAAATGAGCATTTCATAATGAATTATAAAATGCTTTTGTAAGGGGTGTCATGAAATATTTTTACTAGGACATTGGGAGGGTCATCCAAAACTATAACAAGCATTAGGGAAAGGTCATTTTATTCAGAACACTGGTGCAACAAACACATCTGACAAACCCTGTGTAATAAATTACAGTTCTTTCACATTTTAACAACAAATTGACAAAATTTATGAACAAAGAACAGAATTAAACTGTTACATTTTTCTCATTGATGCTGAAATTCTTGAATTTAATGAGACTGAAATAGCTTAGCAAGTGAATGGTCCATTGTCTGTCTATATATCTGAAACAGCTGATGTTGAGCTTGTTATTGCTTGACACGTATTATCCTCAGCATCGCGACCGACTCCCATGTGGGAAAGCACCCTACAGCACAGTGCTGGAATACCGCATTGTCATTTTTTGTCCCCGCATGTGCGTGTCTGCTGATCTGGTGGCAGTTGAATAGTTTACACATGTGTGCATTACAAAGAGTAATATGCACTGAGCCACTCGCATATCAACACACGCATCAACACCCACGCCCCAGGGCGGTACATGCATCAGGGGAGTATAACTGGCAGGTATCCTGGGATGTGGAGATAGTGAGACGACACTGTTACATACTCATACATACAACTGTACATACATACAGACAAATGCATACACACATACACACATACACACGTACACACATACACAAATGCACAAAACCCCACATGCATAAAAATGTACACCCATTGAACCACATTCATACGCATGTACACACATAGAAATACATACACACGCACGCACATGGAACCACATAGATACACATGTACACACATACATACACATGCACATAAGCCACATGCATACACATATATACACACATACACACATAAAATCACATGCATACACATGTACACATAGAAATACATACATACATACATACATACATACATACATACATACATACATACATACATACATACATACATACATACATACATACATACATACATACACACACACACACACACACACATACATACATACATACATACATACATACACATGCACACATGCACATACACATATATGCACATGTACACACATAGTGACATACACAAATAGAACCACATACATACACACACATACACAGATAATACAAAACCACATGCATAATCTCATACATACACTCATAAACCACATGCACACATATATTCATATAAACACTCATGCACACACATGCACATTCACATGAACACATATACACACACATATTTCCACACATGAGCAAAATCACACAAGTATGCATACACACATACAACCACTCACTCACTCACACATGCACATTTGTCAAAACACACACATATGCACATGTACATACACACAAACATGCACATACACAAACACATTTTCACATGAAAACATGGCCCTAATGTGAAAATGGTAGACATACCCTTAAATGCAAGATTAGAATGGGATAGACCTTGCTGTATTGGGACGCAGTAGTGGCGGTTTACTGAATGAAACTGAATGTCTTAGCAGAATCTGAAACTTTCAACATTTCACCTACTTGTATGTACTGCTGAAAGAAGAATTGCACAATACACTTCCACACCAGTTACACATGTAGGAATGTGTCTGCCATGCTCGCTGTTTCTGTCTTTATATTTTGTTTTGTTCTATTCTGCTGGCAAGGCATTGGAGTTTTTAGTCTAGGAAATGTTGTAGAAACTGCTTATTTACAGTGACTGTACACTGAGTTCTCCCTCTGTAATGATGTAGGAGTCACCCTGTCTCATGTGAGCGCCATCAGCAAGTTGAAGTTTGTACAAATCCGGGGAGAAAACGAGTGAAATAACACAGCAATGAGACATTACAGATGGAGACACGAAGGGTAGCGAGTTGGGTAGAATTATTTCTGTCATGGCATTTGGAGATTTAAGGTGTAAATGTTAAAGAAACAATCCTAGGGAGAATATATACTGTTCACACAAAAGGGCTTGTCAGTTGTCCCCTTTGTACTGATGAAAGTTTTGGGATGAGGTGCATGGGATGCTGTAGAGTCAGGAGAGAGTTTCCACCAGATCGCTAAGTTAGGGAAACTGTCAGCAATGTAATAGCTTTGATCATGTAACGACATCCATTAGGACAGTCCGTATTTAATTCTGTGTTTCTCATCGCCTGACTGTTCAAAGAATGGGGCGGGCTGGCGAAAATAAAAAAAGGCAAAAAAACAAAACAATACTATTCAATATTCACATATGAATGTATACTCACCAGATCCATTGGGAATCACGGCAAAGACAATAAAGATTGCCCCTAAATTCCCTATCAGTGTGTATGTTTTTTTGCGACAGAAACTATGATTTCTGACAGAGCCTTTGTGATTTGTCACAGAGTGTTTGCAATGATATGTGTTAGAATAAGATAAAATGGTAATTATAGCTTTAGTTGGTGGTATTAAAGACTATAATTTTCCTTATCAACACATAATATCACCCTGCAACTTTATAATTTACTTAAATAAATATAGCAATAGCATAGATATCATTTTTATAATACTTTGCAATGAAAGTCATCTTGATGTTCAATATGAGTAAAACATCAAGATTAACAACCCTCGAAGAACTAAATATTCATAACGAATTATGTCAGTCGCCCAACTGAACAAGTCATAAGATAGAAGTGTAAGATGATTTCTTTATTAACTCAAGGGAAATTTTGTATGCATCATGTACAGTTCTCTAGTCTATATAACATTTTTAACGAGTATCTGCAAGTGATTGCAAGTCAATATCATTACCTGTCGAAATGGAACCCATACAAATAGATAGTACAAAGTCACATTCACAATGCTTAACTCACATAGTCTGTACAAAAACAATTATTTTCAGAAGAAGACAATTTAGTCAATGTTCATGATGATTTTGATGATGATTGTGATCTACTAATAGTTGTAGATAATTGATGACTATCTGTCAATCATAAAGCAGCTTCAAAATGTTACGTGTTGTCTCAAGTAACACTATATGTGCATATACACTGCAGACTGCAGTGTTACATCCCTGTGGCGATTCATGGCAAGTTTAATCCCATAAGGGACCGTTCATAATTTATGGCTAGGGGGGGTGATGATGATTTTTATGGAGAAGCTTGTACAATGTGAATGAGCCCCCCTAAAATTTATGTACAAAATAAGTGACCCCACCTGCATGTCATGTACAAAATCAGTGACCCCCCTTCCCTACCCATAATTTCTAAGCATAATTTCAAACATATTTTATGTACAAAATTGATGCCCCCACCAGTATGTGTGTACAAAATTGATGACCCCCAAGCTCGCCAGGACAAAATGGGGTGGACCCCCTAGCCATAAAAAATCATCAAACCACCCTCCATCCATGCAGAAAACTATGCCAAAAAGGAAGGTGTGACAGGTCCACCTTACAGCAATATTTATGCCAGGAGATTTTCAACCAAAGTGAACCAAATTCTGCACAATTCTATTATAAGTAATTCACGCAATATTCATACGCTTCATGGTGGAATTAAAAGCAGGGGACAAATATCACCAGGTTATTCTTGACCACTTACATGTATGATGTTCTAGTCAACATTGTCCTGACATGGAACAGTTGAGAGACGAAATATGAACATCACCTCGAATTATAGCTTCAAACATTCAGATGATCTTTAGACACCACATATACATAAATAGAAATGTCAAATTCCGATTCATGAACAAGATTTAAGAAATTGTGTCCCCTCTATTCCTTTTTGGGGATTGTGAATTATCTGTGACTAAGAATGAATTTTCTGTTACATCAATTTCATGATCACAAATTTTCTGTCACTATAGAGCTATTCAGTGTTTTAGATATATGTGTCTTCTTTTCGCTGCTTAAACAGAACATTCTTGGGGTAGCCTAGTGGTTAAAGCGTTTGCTCGTCAGGCCGAAGACCCGGGTTCGATTCCCCACATGGGCACAATGTGTTAAGCCCATTTCTGGTGTCCCCCGCCATGATATTGCTGGAATATTGCTAAAAGCGGCGTAAAACTAAACTCAGTCAGTCAGTCTTTATAGTGGGCGACTTTGCATGCCACATTAATTCATTCAATCATTATTTCAAATGTATCAATTCATTATAAACAAAATATGAAAATATGAACAATTTATAACTTTACAAGATTATCAAGGGTTTTCAGAGTAATATAGCTATATTAGTTCGTGAAGGAACATAGCATTGAGGTAAGCATGGAATTAATTCCCTTATAAAGTTGTTTTTGGACGTCTACAGGACATTTATTGTACCTTCCCTCGCCTTGCAGATGCTATAATCACAAAGACTCTGTAAAAAATCATAAAGTTTCTGTCCCAAAGATCACAAAGACTCCACTCTCACTGTAACCAAGTACACTACCAGTGATACACAATACTGTGGAGTTGACTGCCATATTTTCGAGTGTAAATCGCGAACTCCTAAGATTGCCGGATCGTAAATATTAGTGGATGCCAATCCTAAATCGTGACAGGGAGTAAAGTTGCAAGAGTTGCTTCCATTTAAATACCTGCTGAAGATTCGTTTTTCGTTTTCGTTTTTCAATGAAATTTAATACTCAATTTTAAACTCAATTTTTATTTTTTCTTGTGGTGAAACATTTTTTTTTCAATGGGTGGTCAGCACAAAGGTTAGAAAACAAATGTATTTTTTTATTGTATGGGCGGGTGGGATTTTGTACGGGCGGCAGGAGATGAGAAACACAGAATTAAATACGGACGCCCTTACAATATAACCTGCTCAGTCGAAAATGTTTATCTGCTGCCTCATCCAAGTGTTTGAAAGGTAAATTTTATGTATGATATTAACGTTTACGAAACCTCACAAGTGTGTGTGTCTATGTGTGAATGAGTGTCTTTGTGTGATTGTGACTGTGCTCGTGTGCATATGTGCATGCGTGTTTGTGTGTCCATGAATCAATGGTATGCCTGGGTTAGGTAGGTTTCCCATTCAGTAAATGGAACTTGTGTCATGAAGGTAACATTAGAATTTAGGACACACATCTTTAAATGCATGAAACTTTTGAACACAGCTTTGAATTTTCTATATCTTGAAAAATATTCTATGACACACCCACTGATTACATAACCTTTTAGTACAAGTTTTATATCAAAATAAAATAAATAAACCCAGAAAGAGGGACACAGTTTTTTAAATTTTACAGAAACGAATGTTGATTTAACATCCAAGTATCTCAGTGAGTAGATCCAAATGTTCAACTTTTATGGGTTAAATTTGCCAAGTTTGATAAGGTTATGCAGTTGTAAGATGTTGAAATTGGCAGTGTTCCACATTGTGAAGTGTCTGTGTTTGAACGTACGCCATCATTGCATCATGCATTCTGAGATGAGCATTAAATCAGCTTCTTGATAACATGTGGCAGAGAAATTACAAATTACACTCTGCCAAGTGTCAAGTAAATCTTTGCTCAATGTCAGATAATGTGAAGCTTAATTGCATTTTCAGGACCACAAATAAACCAACTCAGAGTTCATACTATTTATTCAGGGACCAATATTGGCTTGTTTTTGTGAAGGGTGTCCAGGTGATTTTAGTTGTTTTTTTCCTTGTTATCTATATATTTACTTTAGATGCAGGCTGTATGTGTCATATAACACTTGGGCCCTGTTCCACAAAGTAATGTTGGGGCTACAACTGTTGTAAATATGTGTAAAAGTATATTAGATAAGATCATCTTAGGCCTACGATCATCGTAAGTCTGCATAAAGTATATAAGATATGATCATCTTAGGGCTACAACCACCGTAGGTCTATGTCAGTGTATGGGAGTTAAGATCATCTTAGGGCCATGACTGTTGTAAATTTATGTAAAAGTATATTAAAAAAGATCATCTTAGGGCTACAACCACCCTAAGTCTGTATAAAGTATGGGAGTTGAGATCATCTTACGGGTACAATCATTGGTAGGTTTATGTCAAGTTATGGGTGTTACGATCATCTAAAGGCTATGACCATCTCAAGTGTATATTAAAGTCTGAGAATTAAGATCTTTATAGGGCTAAGACCATAGTAAGTGTATGTCACAGTATGGGAGTTACAATCATCAAGATATATGTAAATACTCAAGTCTGGGATAGGTAAATTAGAGGTTGATGTCACTTCCAACAATCCATACCATCAGGATACCACGCACCTGATAATGTTTATTCCCCAATCATGGGATACTTGGGATCTATTCCACACCAATGCCATGTGGTACTAAAGTATGATGACAAGCAGCTTTCTGTAATCATTGCCAAGAACAGTGAAATAAATGGCTACTTGTTTCACAGTTCTCAAAACAAACATTGGTTGATTCTTGTAGCATGTCTCATGGGCTGAATAACTCTCTTGGCTGGTTGATCCAGCTGAGATTATGATGTACTAGTAATCCTTTATAATATGAACTTCTGATATTCACGTCCCTTAATTGTAGGAAATTGTCCATTTTGGTCCCGTTGATCAGTGGTATTCTGTATTTCAGGTTTCCTGGGTCATAATATGTTGAATGTGAATACAACAACCACCGCCAACTCTCTACTGATGTTAAATGGTCATCATAGTCCGTCCCTAGGCAGCCCAGTCAACTGCCACTCTCCGTCCAGCCCCAGCCACTGGGTGTCACCACCTCCAGGTAGGTAATGGTCATCATAGTCCGTCCCTAGGCAGCCCAGTCAACTGCCACTCTCCGTCCAGCCCCAGTCACTGGGTGTCACCACCTCCAGGTAATGGTTATCATAGTCCGTCCCTAGGCAGCCCAGTCAACTGCCACTCTCCGTCCAGCCCCAGCCACTGGGTGTCACCACCTCCAGGTAATGGTTATCATAGTCCGTCCCTAGGCAGCCCAGTCAACTGCCACTCTCCGTCCAGCCCCAGCCACTGGGTGTCACCACCTCCAGGTAGGTAATGGTCATCATAGTCCGTCCCTAGGCAGCCCAGTCAACTGCCACTCTCCGTCCAGCCCCAGCCACTGGGTGTCACCACCTCCAGGTAATGGTTATCATAGTCCGTCCCTAGGCAGCCCAGTCAACTGCCACTCTCCGTCCAGCCCCAGCCACTGGGTGTCACCACCTCCAGGTAATGGTTATCATAGTCCGTCCCTAGGCAGCCCAGTCAACTGCCACTCTCCGTCCAGCCCCAGCCACTGGGTGTCACCACCTCCAGGTAATGGTTATCATAGTCCGTCCCTAGGCAGCCCAGTCAACTGCCACTCTCCGTCCAGCCCCAGTCACTGGGTGTCACCACCTCCAGGTAATGGTTATCATAGTCCGTCCCTAGGCAGCCCAGTCAACTGCCGCTCTCCGTCCAGCCCCAGCCACTGGGTGTCACCACCTCCAGGTAATGGTTATCATAGTCCGTCCCTAGGCAGCCCAGTCAACTGCCACTCTCCGTCCAGCCCCAGCCACTGGGTGTCACCACCTCCAGGTAGGTAATGGTCATCATAGTCCGTCCCTAGGCAGCCCAGTCAACTGCCACTCTCCGTCCAGCCCCAGCCACTGGGTGTCACCACCTCCAGGTAATGGTTATCATAGTCCGTCCCTAGGCAGCCCAGTCAACTGCCGCTCTCCGTCCAGCCCCAGCCACTGGGTGTCACCACCTCCAGGTAATGGTTATCATAGTAGTCCGTCCCTAGGCAGCCCAGTCAACTGCCACTCTCCGTCCAGCCCCAGCCACTGGGTGTCACCACCTCCAGGTAGGTAATGGTCATCATAGTCCGTCCCTAGGCAGCCCAGTCAACTGCCACTCTCCGTCCAGCCCCAGTCACTGGGTGTCACCACCTCCAGGTAATGGTTATCATAGTCCGTCCCTAGGCAGCCCAGTCAACTGCCACTCTCCGTCCAGCCCCAGTCACTGGGTGTCACCACCTCCAGGTAATGGTTATCATAGTCCGTCCCTAGGCAGCCCAGTCAACTGCCACTCTCCGTCCAGTCCCAGTCACTGGGTGTCACCACCTCCAGGTAATGGTTATCATAGTCCGTCCCTAGGCAGCCCAGTCAACTGCCGCTCTCCGTCCAGCCCCAGTCACTGGGTGTCACCACCTCCAGGTAATGGTTATCATAGTCCGTCCCTAGGCAGCCCAGTCAACTGCCACTCTCCGTCCAGCCCCAGTCACTGGGTGTCACCACCTCCAGGTAATGTCACTTGTCTACCCACACCTACTCACTCTCTCTCATTACGCCCAGGACCCGTGAAGATCCGGGTTAGAATTGATCTTCAGTAACCCATGCTTATTGTAAGAGGATTAGGGTCGTCTGGCTTGCTGACTTGATTGACACATGTCATCATATCCCAGTTGCATAGATCGATGCTCATGTTGTTGATCACTGGATTGTTTGGTCAAGACTGATTATTTACAGACCGCCGCCATATAGCTGGAATATTGCTGATTGCGGCGTAAAGCTAAACTCACTCGCTACACCCAGCCAAGGTCCTACATTGTCCCTGGGTCAATCTTGCCCCCCCACAACCCCAGCACATCACTGGGTCTTGCTGTGACTGCCACCCTGACTCAATCACTGGGTCTTTACACCTCTCCCATGCTTCTTAACAACGTCATGATATATGAACAGAACAGTGGAACTCCCACATGCTCAACCTCCAGTGTTTACAGCACTGCTTGTACAGGAAGTTGGATGATTGACAAAAATGTATATTTTTTCTGAAAGGCACATTGCAGGTAATAGTATGTTAACAAATATTCACATGATGGAAAACATAATAAAAATCATCAGATAAGTTGATCCAGGTATTAGGTATAACAGTTATCAGGAAATCATGTAATTGTTAACACACCCAGGCTGTAACACAACCAACAAGTCCTGGTCTTTGGAAGAATCCCCAGGGACGACTGAACCCTTTTGAAGAAGACTCAGTTCTGAAAGATCACAATATGCTGAATTACATGTATACATTCTACAAATGTGTTTGAGAACCTTGCATGTGCAGTTCCTCTTTTTTAATAAATCTGTTGTTGATGGGTGTGGAAATGGAATCCCTGAAAGGACCCTACAGGACTAGAATTCTTCAGATAGCACTAAGAGGGGAATTCTAGATAGCAGGCAAGGTCGGATAATCTCTGTTAGCCAGACACTGGAAAATTGCAGAAGAAAGCCTTAACTGATAACTGCTTGACCTGCAACACTTAATAGACAAGTAAATGTGTAACAGTGCAAGCTGGTGTGGTTCCAACAGGGTGGGGACTTGTGGAGCCACTTACTGTCTGTGGGGTAAGCTGAGATAGGAGGAAGGAGAGTAGGTTAGGGAACATTCATAATGTATTGCTAGGGGGGTGATGATGTGAATGACACCCCCCACCCCTCTAAAATTTATGTACATAATCCATAAATTATGAACAGTCCCTTAATGTACCGGTACATAGAAATAAATGAGTAGACAACCCCCAAAACAATTGTAGTCAGCGTAGTACACCATGTCTTAACTGATTCTCATTTCCTAGCCTGAGTGAGCATTACTTCACACCACATCACCTGTTGTGCAGCTTTTGCAGTTGCTAGAGAAATATAACTGCATCATGTATAAACAAGTGCTGTGCCTGAAGATGGCAGGCCTTTGGAGAACAAAATAAATCCAGTTATAAGATCCAATGTATTTTTACATATCAAACATCCCCTACAGTTGTAGCTAGTCTTAGCAGCTGCTTTGGTCAATTTTAAGACTCTTGTAAGACCAGGGTTCTAATCCTTTCCCTGAGGCTAACTTTGGCAAATTGTACCAATTCTGTTGGCTAGTGAGTCTTGTTATCTTCATAATGCACCAGGTAACTGAACGTTTTAAATGTCGATCCCCTTGATATTGCAAAGAAGACTGTTGGAGATAATTAACTGCCTCTGACAGAAAGTGCCTCTCCTGTCAGGAAAGAAAAGGAAGTAAAAGAAAAGATGTCAGAATTGTCAGCCACACTTAATCTGGGCATTTCCTGAAATGTAGTTTTTTGCATGTTTACACTGTTAAGTGCTATTATTCCAACCTGTAATGGTCATACACACCCCATTTCCAGACTGCCTTGATTGCTGAAAACTGATTAACACCATGCAAAAACATTGTGATGACTGATTCACTATTGTCTGTTTGTTATAAGTTGTTCTCCAACCCCAGCAGATGGTGACAACTGATTGTCCTAATATACAAGACCGCCTCCGTGGTGTAGTGGTTAGAGCGTCTGCCCGGAGAGCGGAAGGTCGCGGTTTCGATCCCGACCGTGTCATACCAAAAGACGTTAATATATGGTACTTGTTGGTCCCTGCCTGGCGCTCAGCATTAATGGGTGCAACAAGGACTGGTCGGCTCGGAGTCAGTATAATGTGTCTGAGTGGGGTATTCATGCTTCACTGAGGCATGGTATCTCAGTGAGCTAGCACTATAAAACCAGCTTCAGTCTGGTCTAGTACAAGCAGCCGCACATACACATACACACGCATTCACGTCATCATATGAGCGAAATATTCTCAAGCTTGACATAAAAAACCCAATTTCACCTCACCTCACCTAATATACAACCTACTACACTAACTTGGTGAAAACTGTTTGTGTGTTTGTTAGCCGGAATATGCAACCTCTAACACCTATAACACATGGTTTATTTGGGAATGCGCTTTCTCAGTAAAGAACAGATTCTAGTACTTTTGTTAGGTTGAGTCCCATCCAGGATTTGAACCCACACTCTCACAGCAGGCATCAAATCGCCAACACCCAGTCAGGCATCTAACCCAGTCAGGAGCCACTAATGTAGAAGCCATAGTGGCAGAGTGGGTAAAACAGCTGACTTTGTGTGCAGGCAAGTAGGTGCTAGACTGTGAAAGTGTGGGTTCAAATTGCGAATGGGACTCAACCCAATAAAAGTAGCAGAATCTGTACTTTACTGACAAAGTGCGATCCCAAACATAACATGTGTTTCGTTTGACTACATTCTTAATGGAATTGTGTATTTATACCTCTTACTTGATGAACTCTGTTTGTGTGTTTGTTTACGTGGAATATAAAACCCCTGCAGTTAAGGAACACTGCTTATGTTCTGTGTTTGTTATCAGGAATATACAACCCCCTGCTGATGGTGAATCCTGTGTCAACCTCCGTCCACAGTCAGCTTGATGCCCTCTCTCCATGTAATGGGTTTCAGAAAGACTTTACTCACCCAAGTGCCTTCATCCGAGTCTCAACACCTCTAGATCAAGGTCAGTCATTGCTGTACTGTAGCAGAATGTTTATTGTTGTTTTAAGATGCAAGAAGAATCAGTATGGGTAGTCAGACCCAGGAACTGTGTGTGCTTGTTGTCGTATCTTAACACCACAGGAAGTTCTTCATAATATCAACCACTTGTTTCTCTCTTCTCTCGCCAAAGTTAAATATATGTCATTCCTGGCATTACTGTAGTAAAATTTGCATTAATTATTGTTGTTTTGAGAGGCAAGAAAAATTGGAATGGGTGGTCAGATTAAAAAACTTGGTTGTGTAATGTGTAGTCGGCATTGTATTTTGACACCATAGAAAGTTCTTCATAATATCAGCCACTGGTTTGATTATTTACTGACTTGATATAGCTTGATTATTGCTGACTTGTATAAATCAACAATAATGAATTTACACTTGTCAATTGTCTTACCTAGGGGCATATTCTTATGATGATTATTTTGTGTTCAGGTCCAAGCTGCAAAACCAGCGAGGCAGGCAGCCCCCCTCACAGTCCCCCCAACAGCCCGGTCACAGTGTCCCTGGGTCATCCCCCCCACCACTCAGGTGTGTAGGACTGTGGAAGGTGGTACAGTCTTCTACCATGTCTTAAACAAATGAAACAAACAAAGTTTAGAAATAGTCTCTGCAAAAAAAGTGTCAGGTACTGATATCATGAACCATATAATTCTGTAAGTAGAATGCCTGAAAATTTTAAATTTCTCTGAGTCAAATTTGTGCACTAGCTGGTTTCATTATACTGTTGGAGTAGGGAGACCATCTGTGTAGAGCTGCCTCCATCAGGTGTGCTTGAAAACAGAGACCAAATGCCAGTGCTTGGCCTTGGCTGGAACCTGTGATCCTGGGTTTAAATCCCACTTGGCCTTGGTTATTTTTGTTTGTCAGCTCCATATTTGTTTGCTGGTGGGTTTCAAGCTGACATTGTGGCATGTAACTAAAATACAGTAACTGGTTAAGCTCTGAAAAGTGTTGCACACAGCAGTGATACACAATGTAGCACAGTGTAATGATACACCTGTTGCACACTACATTGATACACAATGTTGCACACTGCAGTGATACACAATGTACGCACAGTGTAATGATACACCTGTTGCACACTACATTGATACACAATGTTGCACACTGCAGTGATACACACTGTGGCACAGTGTAATGATACACCTGTTGCACACTACATTGATACACAATGCCTCACACTGCAGTGTTACACAATGTTGCACACAGCAGTGATACACACTGTGGCACAGTGTAATGATACACCTGTTGCACACTACATTGATACCCAATTGCACACACCTGTTACACACTGCACTTTGTTATACACAATGTTGCACACAGCAGTGATACACACTGTGGCACAGTGTAATGATACACCTGTTGCACACTACATTGATACACAATGTCCCACACTGCAGTGATACACAATGTCTCACACTGCAGTGATACACATTGGCACAGTGTAATGATACACCTACATTGATACACAATGTTGCACACTGCAGTGTTACACACTGGCACATTGTAATGATACACCTGTTGCACACTACATTGATACACAATGTTGCACACTACAATGATACACAATATTGCACAATGGTCATGCCTTGTTTCAGTGGACTTCTCCAGCCTACAGACAGCGGGTGCTATTGGGGACATGATGACCCGTGACCCTCTCAGTAGTAACGGTCACACCCTGGATCTCCTGGGTCTCAGCAAGACCACCCCTCTGTGTTCAGCACAGGCCCTCTATATGGAGGCCAACAGACATCTACAGTAAGTTGAGGAGAGATTTGTCATTTGTGAACTTACTGATGAAACCTAATTTTGAAAAGAAATTAGCATTGAAATATAATTATAATAGATGATAACCCTAATTAGATAAAAGTATATACTTCTAAAACTGTTGAAGTCTTGTTTGTTTCAAGGCAGTGAGTTTGTTGAGATGGCCTTGTGGTTGAATCATTTGCTTGTCACTCCGAAGGACCAGAGCCTCCTTTCACAAAGGGGGCGATGGGGTAGCCTAATGGTTAAAGCGTTGACTCGTCACGCCGAAGACCCGGGTTCGATTCCCCACAGTGGGCACAATGTGTGAAGCCCGTTACTGGTGTCCCCGCCATGATATTGCTGGAATATTGCTCAAAGTGGCATAAAACCATACTCACTCACTCGCTCACACCATTCTCAAAGCACTAAGATGATCGTAAGTCACTAAAGTAACCTTAGTGCAATGTTTAAGAATGGGAGTTAAGGTTAACCTTTGTAAAGGTTGCTTTGCTTCATGAAAGGAGACCCTGGTCCACTCACTCAAGGCATTGACTGATCCCTATGGTATTCAGTGCAGAGAAGGTCCCCAGTGTCCATCAGGAGCTATGAGTGCCAATGTGTGACCTTGCTGATGTGTGTCCTTATACCTTGATGATATGGGTCATTGCAGGGGATTGTCAACCACTAGTTTATCTTGTCCAGACATTATTACTCAGTGGCGACAGTAGGGTAATAAAGTCTTTAGCATTTGCTTGTCAAGCCAGCTCTGTTTCCGGCATTGGTACATTGTGTGTCTGTTCCCAGATATTGCTGGAATATAGTTACGAATGTCATTTCTGGCTGTAGGATTTTGTAGTTGAAACATTGCTGTCATATGTGTAATACAACATAACTGAGACTGGAAGTTTTACCAGTGGTAAGTTTGAGATGTCTTCAGAATGTAATATGGATTAGAAGTTGTCAGACAAGTACTCTCTGCTGCAGGAATGGTAATCTAGACAATACATCCGAGTCCTCTGGAGGGGAGTCCGACAGCTCCGACAAAAGGGCTCCAGGGAGCGAACGCAAGAATTCCACGTCCTCTCTCTTCAGCAATCCACTTCAGTATGGGTTTGACTATGAGCAAAAGAAGCTGCTTGCCATGAAAGGTAGGTGTACACATGGCCTGGCCATCTTCTCTGTGAGTAGATCAGAAGGACAAATTGTTCCAAGCACTTCATGACCTAATAATCTGATGTTAGCTACTTTACTAGATTAGGTTTCTTCTGAAGGTGTTTTAACTCGCTTGTCATTCTTGCTTGTAATTATCGGTTAATCATTAAACAGGAAGCAGTAAGTTATAGTGGCTGCAGTGCCCATCTCTAGTGACCTAGTTTTCGACATACTCAGTAGTGGGTTATTTGGGAATTTGCAACTGAACAATGAAAATATGATTTCTTCCTTAATTCTTACATGTAATATACCTATCTATATGATAATAAACCACAGGGGCTAAATACAAGAGTCAAAAGGGTAATTATTTAGCCTTGAACTGCCTAACACATCTTGAAGGCACTCCAGTCATATGAACTGAAAATTCTATTGTCAAAAAAATAACATCCTCGATAATCTCCAGGGTATACGTTCTGTTAAATCTCCACTAGTACCCTGGATGCATCTATGGCTCGGCCCGATAAAAAAGAAAAGAAATAAGCAATAGAAAAACAGTTCTGTTTTGGAATGGCATGACCAAATTTGAACTGTGCAGTAGACAATTCCTATCTGTCTGCCTTTGGTTTCCAAGCTGGAAGATTGTAACAAAACTGAGACTAGTATCGGTAAGCTGAAAATGTAAACTGTTAGATAGATCTATACATTATAACATTTGAGTTAGGAAGCTAACAATGAATATTTTGAATTACAGTGAAATCCAGTCCCCAATAATCTAGAGACCCTGCCTGTCTGACTAGTACTGTGAAGATAATGAAATTGTATTCAAATGGTGTTGCTCCATATAATTATTATTTAACCCAAAAGTTGTCATGACACTGCGTTCCACTGAGATTGTGGGAAGCCCTGGCTTCACTTCCACTGATAGTGTCTACAGGCTGGATTATTGGAGCAGATCAGGACAAACTTCGGTCCAGTTTAATTCAATCAAACTGTGACTGCTGAGTAGCATCATTCTTGATCTCCTTTAAGGACATATACATCTGTTACATCATGTCCATAATTTCCAGTTAATTACAGCACATTGCAGTCGTGAGTTGTCAGGTTATAATCAGGTTTTCTTTATGACTATGATTAGGGTGTTTAATATCCTGAAATTCAGATAAAGAAAATAAAATATTTTTTCAAATGGGACTACCAGTTAGGTGGAGCCTTGACCTCCTTTTAGAGCATTTAGGCAATAATCCAATATTTCTATGTGCAAACATATGGATCACTTAAAACAAATTAGAGGTTGTTGGATTTCAAAATTTAAGTGAGTGTTTGAAGCAAAATTGCAAGTTGGAGTTAATGCAACATAGAAGAGAAAAAAAACATCACTTGAGGTAAATGAGTCATGTGTTGAAAGTCATCTGTGCTTCGGATCAACACATCTTGTACAGCTTGTACTTGCCTTATCTAACTGAGGTTTTTGATAATTTGTCAGTGTCAGCATTTGCAAATGTGATAGCATCAATAAAGATGATCTTAGAACTGTCTTAGTAAACAGGAAGTACAATTACACCAATGAGAGTGCTGGAAGTGTTTCAACAGCAAGTACAGGCTTGGTTAATTGTGTAACAGTGTCGGTAGACACTATCAGTGGAGGTCAAGATGGGGCTTCAGACAGCCTCAGTGCAACATAGTGTCATTAATGTAATGTTTTTATATGTTCCCCTCTGTGGAGAGTGTTTTTCCCTCACATCCTATGCTTATTGTAAGAGGGGACTTAGTGATTCAGGTTCAGTGCATTGGTTGATGGCATGTCATTGTGTTTTGAGGGTGTGGTCATTGCTCACAGTATCAATCCCTGCTTTAACAGGTCAAGATTTATATACAGCCATTGTATAGCTGTCATGTTACTGAATGTTGAATTAAACAAAGAACACACAAAACATACAACATGATGGTTTCTGAACTTTTGTTTATGCTGCATGCTTTTTGTAAGAACTGAAGAGGATTGTAGGTCAGGTTGTGAGATGTGGCCGATTGCAGGACGTCCTACACTGAGGCTGTTGTTCAGGCTCTTTTAGTCTCAGCTTTGCCTCCTTTAGACTATAGTATTTCTTGGCTACTGTGGTGAAGCTGTGTGTTACAGCCTGTGACATGAAACAACACTCACTCACTCACACACTTCTACTTGCAGCCATGCAGAAGAAGCCTGAGGGGGAGTCCCGGATCCCGACCGACTTTTGGGCAGGGATGGGGTTCTCCAAGTCCATGCCAGAGTCGGCCATCAGGGAGAGGATCAACCAGCTGGGCATGGGGCACAGATACCTGGGGCCTGCCATGTCTACCACATATGAGGTGAGGGAGTTAGATACAACAGCATAGCTTGTCTTGCAGTGACTGCAGAGGGAGTCAGATACAACAGCATAGCTTGTCTTGCAGTGACTGCAGAGGGAGTTAGATACAACAGCATAGCTTGTCTTGCAGTGACTGCAGAGGGAGTTAGATACAACAGCATAGCTTGTCTTGCAGTGACTGCAGAGGGAGTTAGATACAACAGCATAGCTTGTCTTGCAGTGACTGCAGAGGGAGTTAGATACAACAGCATAGCTTGTCTTGCAGTGACTGCAGAGGGAGTTAGATACAACAGCATAGCTTGTCTTGCAGTGACTGCAGAGGGAGTTAGATACAACAGCATAGCTTGTCTTGCAGTGACTGCAGAGGGAGTTAGATACAACAGCATAGCTTGTCTTGCAGTGATTGCAGAGGGTTGCAGTGACTGCAGAGGGAGTTAGATACAACAGCATAGCTTGTCTTGCAGTGACTGCAGAGGGAGTTAGATACAACAGCATAGCTTGTCTTGCAGTGACTGCAGAGGGAGTTAGATACAACAGCATAGCTTGTCTTGCAGTGACTGCAGAGGGAGTTAGATACAACAGCATAGCTTGTCTTGCAGTGACTGCAGAGGGAGTTAGATACAACAGCATAGCTTGTCTTGCAGTGACTGCAGAGGGAGTCAGTTTCATATTTGTCTTGATAGGTACACTGGGACAATGGGGTAGCCTAGTGGATAAAGCGTTTGCTTGTCACACTGAAGGCCGGGTTCGAATCCCCACATGAGTACAATGTGTGAAGCCCATTTCTGGTATTCCCTGCCGTGATATTGCTGGAATATTGCTAAAAGCAGTGTAAAACCATACTCACTCACTATAGGTACACTACTCAAAGAAGTTAAGGATCATGTCTGTCATGTCATGCCAGCTCTTCTTGTGAGTAGCATATATCATAATGGTATTGCCAACTGTATCATAGTTGTAATGGATGTGTTAAGTGTAAACATGTTGTAATGGATGTGTTAAGTGTAAACATGTTGTAATGGATGTGTTAAGTGTAAACATGTTGTAATGGATGTGTTAAGTGTAAACATGTTGTAATGGATGTGTTAAGTGTAAACATGTTGTAATGGATGTGTTAAGTGTAAACATGTTGTAATGGATGTGTTAAGTGTAAACATGTTGTAATGGATGTGTTAAGTGTAAACATGTTGTAATGGATGTGTTAAGTGTAAACATGTTGTAATGGATGTGTTAAGTGTAAACATGTTGTAATGGATGTGTTAAGTGTAAACATGTTGTAATGGATGTGTTAAGTGTAAACATAGTTGTAATGGATGTGTTAAGTGTAAACATGTTGTAATGGATGTGTTAAGTGTAAACATGTTGTAACCATCATTGCAGAGCCCAGAGTCATGTTGTAACCATCATTGCAGAGCCCAGAGTAGGAGTTGGAAGCAGGTATTGACCGAGACCCATGGAAGAACCCGTGTAGCACCAATGCACCCATCAACAAGGCACCTGGAGAATACCCAAGTCCTCGGAAGAAATGTGAGCAGCAACGCTGTCCAGCTAAAGACCTCACCACATACACAGATAAATAAAAAGCTCAGTCCAACTAAAAAGCTCACATGATATACAGATAAACCTGTTTATTTTGATATGAAGAATTTGAATTAACAATTCATTATTTGTGATTTGGTCAAGGTTGATGTAGGTATGTATATAGATTATATTTTGAGCCTTCTGTTTTATGTGTCTCCTGCCATGTTGCAGATGAGTTTGGTTTGAGCAGCAGTAACCACGTAGACAGTGCGTCTGCTCTGCCACCCTCAAACCTGTGGTCTCCCAAGACTGACCTGGCTGAGCTCTTCAGTAAGATGGGGCTCGGCAAGTACACCGATCTCTTTCAGCAGCAGGAGGTTAGTAACCAGTGTTTGCCTTCTTTGTATCTATATATCCTCAAAGGAAATAGTTATTGTTCAATTACACAGTTGAGTTGATTGAGGGAAACATTTGAAGACACCAAAATCAAATGTCACTGTGGGAAGTAATGAATCTTTAGATCATAAGGCCAGATGAACCTTCTTGCTTCCTGGTTTGCCACCTACATACATACTTTCCTCCAACATCTCAGTGACAAGCCACATTACGGAAATACATTTCAAAGTGGCATTAAACCAAACTCACTCACCTAATGCAGTGAAGCTGTTTAAATCCTGAAACCCCGTATTCAGAAGTTATTTTTGGGAATCCTTATAGGACTATGTGAGCCAGTGATTTGTACACATAGGAATTCTTAACATGGACCAGGCCACAATACATGTAGACCAGGACACAATACCTGTATCTGGCTGTATCACAATACCTGTATCTGGCTGTATGACAATACCTGTATCTGGCTGTATGACAATACCTGTATCTAGCTGTATCACAACACCTGTATCTGGATGTATCACAATACCTGTATCTGGCTGTATCACAACACCTGTATCTGGCTGTATGACAACACCTGTATCTGTCTGTATGACAATACCTGTATCTGGCTGTATCACAACACCTGTATCTGGCTGTATGACAATACCTGTATCTGGCTGTATCACAACACCTGTATCTGGCTGTATGACAATACCTGTATCTGGCTGTATGACAATACCTGTATCTGGCTGTATGACAATACCTGTATCTGGCTGTATCCCAACACCTGTATCTGGCTGTATGACGATACCTGTATCTGGCTGTATGACGATACCTGTATCTGGCTGTATGACAATACCTGTATCCGGCCACAATACCTGTATCTGGCTGTATGACAATACCTGTATTTGGCTGTATGACAATACCTGTATCTGGCTGTATGACAATACCTGTATCTGGCCACAATACCTGTATCTGATGGAAGATGGAAGAGTTCCAGTCTGCCTATAGAGAACACCACAGTACAGAAACAGCACTCCTTCGTGTGCAAAATGACATCCTTTATCATCTCGACAATCAGAGAGTAGTACTTCTTGTTCTACTAGACCTGTCAGCAGCCTTCGATACAATAGACCACAGTATCCTTCTGTCTCGACTTGAGAAGACTGTTGGTATCACCGGACCAGCATTGATGTGGCTTGAGTCATATCTAAAAAACAGAACTCAGTCAGTGAAAGTGGGTGAGGCCGTGTCAGAAGAAAGGTGGTTATCATATGGCGTTCCACAGGGTTCAGTCCTTGGACCACTCTTGTTTACCATCTATATGTTGCCACTAGGTGATGTTTTCGGAACCACTGCATTGACTTCCAGTGCTTTGCAGATGACACCCAGAGCTGTATAAGCCTCCAGGATTGTATCACTTCAGGACAAGATAGCGAAGCTGGAAAGCTGCATCAGTGACATCAGAACTTGGATGAGAATTAACTTTCTCAAACTAAATGACAACAAAGCGGAAGTATTCATTGCTGGGCCAAAGCTTACAGGAGCGTATGACAGAATTCTCAGTCAATATTGGACCTGTGAATGTGCCTGCCTCTTCCCAAGTGAAGAATCTAGGAGTTGTTTTTGACTCCCACATGACCATGAACAAGCAGGTCACCCAAATGTGCCAGTCTTCTCACTATCATCTTCATCAGATTGGTAAACTAAGGCGATATCTTTCAGATGAAACCGCCAAAACTCTCACTCAAGCAACAGTCATATCTGCGCCTTGACTATGCCAATTCACTTTGTTTGGGATAGCAGCCGGCTGGTTCAGCGACTCAGGTTATACAAAACACAGCTGCCAGGATAATAACTTCGTTGTCCTCGAAGAGACCACATCACCCCCAGGTTAAAGAGAACTGCATTGGCTACCGTTGCCAGGCGCATAAAATTCAAGGTGCTTACCATTATCTACAAGTGCCTGAAGACCAACACTGCTCCATCTAACTTGTCATCTCTTCTAAACAACCATAGACCAACAAGAACCCTTAGATCACAAGATAAAGATCTGCTTATCACCAGACCATCCAGGACCAAATACGGGGACCGCTGCTTTGAATGTGCAGCTCCCATGCTATGGAACAACCTCCCTATGTCGCTAAAATCCGCCCCAAATCTACAAACTTTTCGAAAACATTTAAAGACACATCTATTTGAAATGAAATAGACTGAACTGCACAAGAGCCTGTGAGCAGCCTAGCTGGAACTCGGCGCTATAGAAGTAGATTATTATTATTATTATTATTATTATTATTATCTGGCTGTATGACAATACCTGTATCTGGCTGTATGACAATACCTGTATCTGGCTGTATGACAATACCTGTATCTAGCTGTATCACAATACCTGTATCTGGCTGTATGAAAATACCTGTATCTGGCTGTATGACAATACCTGTATCTAGCTGTATCACAATACCTGTATCTGGCTGTATGAAAATACCTGTATCTGGCTGTATGACAATACCTGTATCTAGCTGTATGACAATACCTGTATCTGGCTGTATGACAATACCTGTATCTGGCTGTATGACAATACCTGTATCTGGCTGTATCACAATACTTGTATCTGGCTGTATGACAACACCTGTATCTGGCTGTATGACAATACCTGTATCTGGCTGTATGACAATACCTGTATCTGGCTGTATGACAATACCTGTATCTGGCTGTATCACAATACCTGTATCTGGCTGTATCACAATACCTGTATCTGGCTGTATCACAATACCTGTATCTGGCTGTATCACAATACCTGTATCTGGCTGTATCACAATACCTGTATCAAGGCACCTTATGTTCATTTGGCTGAATCCCTATAAGCAACCTCGGCTGGTTGTAAGTGAGGACCAAATAGTCAGGTTCTCTGACTTGGTTCATTGCATGTAATTTTACCATAATGGGTTGCTGTTAGCAATATTAATCACTGGATTGCTGGAACATTGCTGGGTGATGTGTTAAACCACAAACACACAACTACATGTTTATGGTTGCGATTGCAATGCAATTCACAAAATGATCAAGTTCCATGACTTGGTATATTGCTTATCATTTTACCATCTCTACATCTAACTTTGTGTGACCTTTCTTTCAATAATTATGCATATTTAAGTAAATTATATCTTCCTATTTCCTCATAATATGTTTTGGAAGAAGACAGTGGGAAATGCAGGTTTGGTCGAACTTATTCAACGATGAGTCATAAAATCCAAACTACTGAATTCTGAAGGAGACTGTGAGATTCTCATCTGACTATATTCATGAACACACTTACTTTTGGCTGTACACATCAGCTTCTCATTTGACCTTGTTGTTTGTTTTCTAGATTGACCTGTCAACGTTCCTGACCTTGACTGACCATGACCTTCGAGAGCTGGGAATCTCCACTTTTGGAGCCAGACGGAAGATGCTCATAGCTATTGCTGGTACCAATCTTTGTCACATACTCAATCCAAGTGCTGTGATATAAGCACATTTAACACCTCGGGGATTCTGGAATAGGCCCCTAGTACCTAGTGTTTATAGAGACAATTAAACTTGGGATTGGGTGGTCAGGCTATCATCTTCCTGAGGCAGAGAAGTTAACTGACTACAATAGTTCAGGGTCCAGATCCACAAAGCATTCATAGAGTTTTGACCTGTTGTAACTCTATAGGCTTTCCAATATCTTAGCACTACGAATGTTTTGCGGATTGGGACCCAGGGCCTAGATTTTCGAAGCTCTCTTTTCTCTAAGATAGTCGTAAGTGCCATTTTCTTAAGATAGTTTGGTTTTAAGTGCCAATATCAATGGGGGACACCATTTACATTACCCATGTGGGGATTAACTTACTTAACGCTTTAACCACTAGGCTACCCACGCCCCCATTAACATTAACTTACGACTATCTTAGGGCTAAGAGAGCTTCGAAAATCTAGGCCCAGAGTTATAACTTTTTGTCTGGACTAACAAGTCAATGCATAATTTTATCAAAACCGCTTAACAGAATTTGGTAAACAACAGGATTTGGAAATCATGTATACCTTCAGCTTGGTGTCAACAGAGGCAGGAAACTTGTCTTGATTAGATCCTGTTGACTGGGCTACCAGAATGACAATTATACCAAGAGATATGTGAGAAGGAATCTGATTGGCCAGTTGCAGATGGATTGAATCCGTTGGTAGATGACCAGATGGTGGCCATAACGGGTACAGCAGCGTGCAGTAAACTTGGACAAAGTACTGTGACTATGCATGTCCACCCAGCTGTGAATGGGTACCTCGTAAGGATAAATATAGCCACTACTGGTGCTATGATTGAGCCATCGAATTCCAACTATGGTTGTGCAATGGTGATAAGTGAACTTCTATGATTTACCTCCCTTGCCTCGGTATGACTGGGATGACTGTGTGTCATTGCTCCTCCCCAGGCGGGATCATTGCTTGTTCTTGCAGTCAGTCCAGTCTTTACCAAACTTGATTTTCTGTAGGTTTTAGCTGGGATATTTGAGACCAGCAGACATATGCATTCACTCATTCCCCATGAACAATTCTTGTGGACTTCTATCCTTCATGCTCAATTTTTTTAGATTTAATGTCAATGATGAACAAAATATCTTTTGAAATGGACAAAATGTGAACTCAAGAAAGAATATTGATGTGCTTCCCTGTAACAAATTAACGGGGAGTTATCCCTGAATTGAGGCATGGTGACATTCAATTCATAACTGATTTCTTCAAGGGTACAAGTCTTACACTCAGCGGTGGGTAACCTCATGGTTAAAGCGTTCTCTCATCGTGCCAAAGGAACGGGTTTGATTCCCGTCATGGGCATATTGTGTGAAGCCCATTTCTTGTGTCCCCCACTGTGATATTGCTGGAATATTGCTAAAAGAGGTTGGCAGTTTGCACTTGTATTTTCAGATCTGACAAAACGTCGAACATTGCGGAATATTAATCCAGGTGGCGCCACTTCTGCCTCCAGCACCAGCAACAATCCCACCACCACCAACAACCCGTTTCAGGAAAACGGAGCATCGCTGATGGGTCCCCGGCGTCCAGACATTGCTAGTCTTAGCGGGCGCTGGTAGCTCGGTGATACCTGTACACATCTCAGACAAGCAACAAGGAAAATGATATTGGGAAGACAACATGCAACTAAAAGAACTACAGCTTTAATCTAAGCAAATGTTTCATTACAAATATATATCTTGTATGAATGTGACTTTGGCAAAAATGTCATTTCAAAACAGGATTTGTGAAATTGAACTGTAAACAGGATTTGTGAAATTGAACTTTAAATTTGCTTTAAGAATGTGATAGAAAGGATATTTGCTATTACAGTTATATATTTTCATAATACACAGTTGTCTCATTTGTATTTGCCTTGTTGCTTGTCAATTGTTCTGCTGATGCATAATCGACTTTCACAGAAACTGTGGTGAATTTGGTCGAATTTCGACAAAAATCTTGGAGCTACACTTGCATGGACCTTACGTGAAGCATCTAGTCTGTTCAGTTGCCATGGTAACAGCATTGTAATCATGGTACCTGTGGTGATATGTACAAATATTTAGAACCTTTACAGTAAACAAATTGTTAGCCCTGTTTATATGATGATTTTGTTAGAGAGACTTAGAGAGGTATTTATGAAATGTTGCCACATTGGTTCGAGTAGTCACAGAAAACTCATTGTTTAAATTTGTTGATGTTTGTTTTTATTGCAATATGTTTAAGAATGTTACCTGTTAAAAATCTTCAGAATAGATAGATTTGCAATGGCATGTAGGTAAATCAAAATTTAATCAGGCTATAAAATAATGATTTAAAATTAGTTCTTGGGAATGAGAAATAAACGTGTGGAAGGTGAATTAGTCACTTGTATATTTTACGGGAGAAATGTAAAGTGTAAGTATGGAGTGGTACAAGAAACCCGAGAACCAGGAATATATAATTGTATTTTTTAACGAAAGATTTTGTCATTGAAAATTTTTCCTTGAACAATTTTTTCACATCATACGAGATCATTTTAGTCAGATGAAGCCATGCATGCATTTGAATAATTCTCATGAAGAAATTGTTTTCTCTAGATGGTTTTCTGACATTGTATGGGAGGAGACCTGTGTTGTTGTTACCTCGTGTCATGTATAGAATTTGTTAGAGACTTGCTGCTCTTTGCTAAATCAGAATTCTAAATAGGGCTTTCATTATCTTAATCTGTCCATTTTGTAAACAAATTTGATAGATGTATTCCATATATATGTATGTGTTTTTCACCTGAAGTGATACACCTATCCGTCCAATTTTTTGTGATGTTTATATTTTTTTCATCAGCTATGTTAACGAAGCATTTATGCTTTTTTCTAGAAAAGCTGCAGGATGAACCAAATATTTATTCTTGAAACAGTATTTAGTCATGTTTAGTTTTTAGAAGCCAAATTTGAACAAATCTACTTTCTCATATTATGTTAAATATTTTTTAATATTCATCATTGAAGTGCATAATTAATTATGCTTTGAGTTATGTTCATGATTACAGTACAGAATAAACTTGATAAGTTGGAAATGTTGGTATTATTTGACAATGATTTCAATACAAAATGAAAGTTTTATCATGTAATGTATGGATTTTTCTACATATCCATGAGATATAATCCTTGTAATAAGAATAAGTGGGATTTTTGTAAGATGGGGTTTATAATTAAATGCAAAGGATCAGTAAAGTAAGACATTTTTACACATTTTTGATGCATTTGTCACAAAGCTTTCCGAAAACATCGGACCTAGATTTGTTCATCATTTTGAGATTTTACTGTTTCTTGTACTACTATTTTCAGAATTTATCTGTGTTTTCTTATTTCTTTATGTTTGCAAGTATTTTCTTCAATCATCCAATGTTGAGTGTAGGGTAATGGAGTTTTGACCTGTACTGTATGTTTCCACAAGTCTGTACTGCTGAAGAATGTACTATGCAAACACAGTTTGAAGATATGTAGCGTCATTGTACAGGGAACGTCTGTCTACAGATCTACAGGTTATGCATATCAAAGAAATTCTAAACCCATGACATTTTTGTTTCAGATTATCAGTCATTTATATTTATTTCAAAATATTCATGGTATTTGATTTTTATCATGTGTGTTTCAATCAGTATTGTGAAGGTATCTAAGTGGATCTGAATACGTGAAATGAATTTCCATAAGGAGTAAGTCCATCAGCTGCTGCTGTGACATGTATTGTAACCAGTAATACAAATAAATCCTGAGTCGGGTCAAATCTGAGCATAATATTTCATTTACCCCATATTGTTTCTGTATTTTCTGTTTTGTTCCTTAAAAATCATATCTTGCAAATGTCAGAAGAATTAGAATTTGTGAAGAAGATATTGTTTTTGTTAATACCTTGTACAAGGGTGCACACAGCACCAACTGGTTCAGTCTTATATTGTAGCATGATCAAACAAATCCCAGCTGATTTGAGGACAGTCAGTTTGATACAATTAACACCCAGAAAGAAGGAAGCACAGACATTTCCATTGCCATTCTCTGAAAACTGGAGTAAAATTTATTTAAACAAAATGAACAAAGCCTCTGTTGTTTAGAACTTGTTATATATGTTTGGAGTATGACAAGTCAGTATCTTGGTTCATCTTCAAACATAAATGCATGAAATCTCCACACCTACCTGTATTCACACCTATTGGTTTTGGTGTGAAAGGCTTGGAATACTTTGGAAAAATATTCAGTTTGACATGCTGAGAATTTATGAAGTAATGCATTGGAACAGTTACAGATCATATTAATTCAAACCGCCCCCAAATCTGAAATTCCTCTATCTTTCTGAAATTGTTTATACATGATACAGTAAGAAATGCTGAACCATAGACAGACACCATGACACAACTGTACTGTAGACATTCTGCAGGAACAGCCATTCTGGTATTCTTCACTGGTATCAGTCGATAAGTTACAAATCTAGACATGTTCCTAAGATGCCGCAGTGGCAGATGAATTAACGACCCGTGCAATAGACATATGCTGAAATGTATCCCGATGATGATTGAGCTGAGTAGACCTGTTTGTTTCTCCAATACCCATGTTGTTGTTGTAGTAGTATCAGATCATGTTAAGGTCCACATGTAGTGTCCACGGCTTGTCAGCAGGGAGGACGGTGACGAGGAGGAGGGAGACGAGGAGGAAGGAAACGAGGGGTGATCACTGTCACACAGGTGGGGGATTTCATGGTCATCATGACATAGCAATGGGTTAGTGAGGTTATTTCGCTGTTGCTTAACAGCATTTGAGTCATGGCAAGACACAAAGTATGAGCTTTCCATTGGTGGGGATCAAACCCTAGTCTTGGGTGTAGTGAACTAAGGCTTTGCCCATAAGGCTAACTTCATGTTGATCTATGAGAATTTTCTTGGTTAAAATGATGTGAGAATGAGACACATGTTTGGTAAAGGGTGGCAAACATGTTTCTGTGTCACTCACTGAGTGTCTCACCATGAAATATATCAAACTTTAGCATCCCAAACTGGCTTTCACAGGGGATATGGCCTCTTGAAAACAAGTGATTATATCCCAGGATAGGCTTATCAGACCATTGTGATGTCATATCTTAAAATGACATCACAATGGAATGATGTCACAAATCTGTATGACACTAAAGCTGTAGCTGTGCTGTATATACATGTATACAGCATTCTCCTGAATATATACTTATTTTAAGATTCATTCATGATCACCATGAAATCCTGCAAGTGTGGTGTCTTTGATGAAGACAGTTTGTGCTGGTGTAACTGAATGACCTCCCCCTGCTAGACATTGGTCAGGCTGACAGATTGGCTATGTGATATATGTCCATCTCCTCTGTACACAGGCTGTGTAGGGGTGGGCTCTCTGCTCATTGGTCAGTATGCTGGGCTTGCGGATACTCTAGTGTTGACGTCCCGGTGGTCACTCACCTAAGCTGTAAATAGCTGGTTTTATGTTAATCTTTATTTTGTGAGTGTAACGTTGTTGTCTTCACCTTTTTGACAGACATGAGTAATTCTCATGCAGAGAGTCACATTTTACTTTTTTAATTATCTGTGCAACATTTTCTGCTCTAACTAAATTTATGTTTAGTGTTTCAAATTAATCCTCAAAATTGACAGATAACATAATGTTTTGACTGTATTAGTTATTAAAATGGGTCATTAGTTGATACGACAAAAATATAAGAATTTTACGATCAGTTCTTAAGATTTGTTATCAGAATCTGATATGAGGAAGTAAATAGTGTATATGATTAGAATCATATATTTTTAGTTGGCAGATAAGAGTTTACATGTTCACTTAAGGCAATGCTGATGAAGCATTTCAGTTTTGACCAATGAGCATTGAGCCTGAAGCAGCCAATGAAAGTTGACCTTTTATCCATTTTATATGCATGCTCCTAAATAATTTTGTATAAGATGCAAAGCCATGAGAACTGATTATTAAATAATTGTTACCATGTTTTGTTTGGATATCTAGCTACTATGTGAAGTTGCATGTAAAACAACTAAAACAATATGTATTTCAATTTGTTTTCTATCACATACTAAGAGTACTGTAATCGTAGTTATTTTCGCGTGGGATTGATTTTCGCGCTTTTAGCACAAAATGATTGTGCGTCATTATTCATACCAAGCGAAATATTCATGGTCAAGTCATGACAAAATTCAGACAAATACACAAGTAGGAACAACATGCAATTTGTTTAATGCAGCCAATCAGTGATTTGACCATGTGAACCACACGTGTTCATAAACAACAAACACTACTTTATGATTTCTATGTTTAATTATTGTAAGTACTGGTATACACTCTTCCTTAATTTGTTATCAGTTAATCTCACATATGGGACCGGTGTTGTCATGTTGACACAAGTATAATCCCCTCTCTCTCTGATTGTTTTAGTAAACACGATTCAATTATGGCGGCTAGCTTTGATCATTGCGGATATTGGTTGTGAAAACTTTGTGATGGATACCATCACTCAGGTGTTTGAAATGCGCGAAAAAACTACTGCGCTAACAGGTCTTTGGTGAACTTTCCTCGAAAATTGCACCCCGTGAAAATATATACGATTACAGTATATCATGAATGTCTTTATTGATTGTATTATATGTGGGAATTTTTCTCCACTTTTTTGTTAAGGCTATGGTTTGACATTAGTGTCCTGCTGCATGTGAAAGCTGAAGACTAAGTCATCCAAGGCCGGGTTATATTTATGTATATGAGAAATACGCACCTTGGTGTATTTTTTAAGCAAGTTTTCACATTGTTTTCACAATGTAATATGAATTTAAAACTATTCTGATGTCTTTGAAATTCAAATTTGTAAATGACAGATATTTTTAGAATTTTTTCAGACAGTTCATGTCCTTGAAGTGTGTTAGATGTTTAAATGCTTGGAAATGTAGAGAATATTGGGCATTGGTTTGTATCCCATGTTTGTACGATACAAATCTCTGGAACTGAGGAATACCATGGATAAGTGGGGGTTCCTGTGTTTCTTGGTGGGTCTTGAAAGACTTGCTGGCATGAAACACTGTTGTCATCTTGTGGAACCCATTTGCAAAACATAACCATAATACCTTGGCAGGTATGGAAATACAATGTACATCTTTGTCTGATTGCCAAGCAGACACCCTCTTTAGGTACAAATATCTAAATATGAGACACACACTTACTGGTCAAATAAAACAACTAGAGCCACCCCTGATGTTTTTTGTGTATAAGGCTGAAGGGGTGCTAGACAAGGCATCAGGCCATTTCACTCCCACGTCCAGCATATTCCATGCTGGTTGATGTTAATCACAGGAAACCCCCAAACAATTGATGTGCTCTAGTGCTGTAGACTGAAGAAGGAAAGTTATATGGTACAACAAGCATGGTAACATTTGTCAGCTGTTAATGTCACATTTTTAATGAAAGGTGTATGTTGGACACATATTGATGGTACTGACATCAATCACTGGAGTAATACCACTCAGAATATAACAACACATGCCCATGACTGGATAAATATCATCAAGGACCGTCCTTAACTTATTTTGAGTAGTATACAATCAACCTCCGAGATGTATGTTGTGCCTGTTTCAGGTTTGTTCAAATACATTTCTTGTTTCTCCTGACTTTTAAATTGGCCTTGCTTCTGATATTTTTTATTTAAGAAAAGATAAGAAATGATTTTTTTAATTTAAACTTTGTTTTACCCCAGATTCCAAATCAACATGAATAAAATGGACCAGGTTGTGAGGGAAGCTTGGACTTTATGCCAGTGTAGCTTCCTGCTGGGATTACAGGGTAGAAGGGTCCAGTATATGCTGCTCGAGGCAACCAAACGAATTGGGTGGTCAGGAGCAGTAACTTGGATTACATGGTGTCATACCCCAACAGCATGGATCATTGCTATTGATACCTATCACTGGATTGTCAGGTCCAGATTCAATAATTCACAAGCATTCACATGGCATTAATAAACAAAGCAAATTATTTTTGTTGCAAGAGGGGATGTGTTCAAGAGAGGTTTCATAGATGTGTAGCCTTATAAGAATACAAACATGAAACATAAACTCATCCATCCCAACTTGGTCCGTTTTGAAAAAGTCACGAGAAACAAGAAACAAAGCAAAATATTTTTGTAGCAGCAGGGGACGTGGTCAAGAGAGGTTTCATAGATGTGTAGCCTTATAAGTAGCAGGAAACAAGAAACAAAGCAAAATATTTTTGTAGCAGCAGGGGACGTGGTCAAGAGAGGTTTCATAGATGTGTAGCCTTATAAGAATTCAAACATGAAACATAAACTCATCCATCCCAACTTGGTCCGTTTTGCAAAAGTCACGAGAAACAAGAATAATGTTTTTAGGGGAGTCAATCCATGCCAGACTCTACATCAAAGGTTAGTTAAACGCAAGTAGGCTGTGTGTTTCATTGGTTGGTTTATTGTTCTGGAGACTAGGACTACCCAGGCTTCTAGTTGTTTTCATAATACTTGCATGATTATGTCACCGTTGCAAGGAGGCATGACAGTCTGCAGCACTTCAGTCCATACTTCTATGTGTGAATATTTTTGCCGTCCGAGGTGCTGCTCGCCCCAGTGTAGGAATACATGTGCTGTATTACCATGGCTATCTACTCAAATGCAGGTATATTGAAATTGGCAGTGAAATAATTTGGACACCTGAAATTGGCATGTCATATTTTTATAAATATTTGTTATGAATGTCCTTTCTGAGCGTGCATTTGACCTGTAAGTGCCAGACCATTTGGTAACTGGTGGTGCCAGGAAATGGTTGGCACTTGCATGTTGAATGTGATGTAAGTTATTTAAAATTTGGAGAAAAATAATTGTGTTCCTTTGAGGTTTAAAGGACATAACCTTGTGGAATTCTTGCTCAAATGTGTAACTGTCATGGTAGCTGAGCTGTAACACAATTTACACCAAATAAAATGTAAAATATCCACAGTGTATGTCATGTCTTGGGCATGATCACAATGATCTAGTACTTTTACAGCTGTGGCAAAGCTGTACCTGTCGCATAGCAACAGAGCAACATAGGTAACTGTTACACAATCAACACAATGTACATGCATAAGAATATGATAGGACCTTTCAATCCTGACTGCTGGTGGCAGCTGGTGAAACAAGGCCCATCATGGCACAATACCTCCCCCGCATGACCATCATCCTCTACACTCAGCTCTAACAAGAATGGTATTCTGGGGACATATCCTAGCTTGAATTCTCTCTGGACAACCTGTTTAGGGAGAGATGAATTTTAACATGGATACCCTGCTCAGATCCTGAGCCAGACAGTCCTGAGGTAACAAGTACCAACTTAACCATCTTTAGGTATGACTTTCGGGTCAGAACCCCCAACCCATCGCTTCACGGACAGCCTCTCTATGCACTAGATCACAGAGGGTGTCCATGAGATGGAAAGAATATGTTCAATAAACAAAGTAATATTTCCAGGTGAGATGTGGGCAGATGAACAAGAAACCATTATTGACACCAACAATGTCTATGGTTACATATGAACCAACCAAATAGGGAGGATTTCTTTTGCATCTGAGCACATTTTCAACAAAACAACTGAAAATGTCCTTTTTTAAAGTACCAACAATGCCAACATGTGTAAAAACGGCAGCTTTATTTTACAACATGACTGTACATTATAATACAACAGTAACGTATCATACAGCTATACAAAGTTGGAATAACTTAAGCATGGCTCATGCAACAACTTCCTCTGTTCTTACCAGCGGAAACTGTGTGTTGTAAACCTGACACTGACAATCATAGGCTGCACACCTCATCTTCCATCAATTTCATGGAGAAAATATCAAATTGGTAGAAAGTCAATAAAATGCTCACCCTCCAAATCTAAAGATGGGAAATGAAGAGGGCATGCTTGGATAACTGAAATATCGTAAATTTTCAGATACAATGGTGACAATGATAAATATAATTTTGTCATACAAATATGCCCATTTGGTTACAGAGTATGCAGTAAGCTCTGCATACATAAGTCCAGAACCCAAATCCACAAATCTTAGCATTAAGACTAACAAGGGCCATTGTGACAAGATTGCTTTATGCAATCGTGCCCAGTGAATGTTATCATAAGTGACTGAACTAGGGCCCATTTCATAAAACAATTTTCTAGCTACGATTGTTGTAAGTCTATGTTAAAGTAAGGGAATTATCATCATAGTGCTAAGATCACTGAGTGGAATCGATATTTGAACTATCTACATGCATTCTGGATACTATATATATTAGATATAGCATCCTCAATCCTGACTGTACAGGACCAAATGTTTCTTGATTAATATAAACATGGATAAAGCATTTCTCACTGTTCAAAGTAATATATCAAATCCATTCAAAAGATGACAACCCAAGACAAATATACTAGTAGTTTGGTGCCCGTTCCTGCAAGCACCATCTTAGCCCAATGTGTTAACCCATATGTGAATGCAGATTTATTGTGCAGTGCAGTAACTTTAATAAAAAATCTCTGGAGCATGTTCTTATCTAATGTATGTATTCAGTATATCAAAATAGCTGCCAAATAAATCCCTGCTGGACAAGGAATAGTCTAAGTATACGGTCTGTCCTGGACTCCTAGCTCAAATCCCTGCACTACAGCTTTGCAGCAAAACTGTAGATATGCTTATATTTGCCTGTATAGACTGGTAAATTAAGATCCTAATTTTCACTCATTCTCCAACCATTTATATAAGGACAAAAGAAAGTCTGTCATGAAGTTTGTCAGTCATGTTATTCCGTATTTACAAATGAAATTAAGTTACCAATTCTTATGAAATTATACTTCAAAAGAACACGAAGAATACACATCCTTAGTTAATATAAACTGAAACATTCCATTCCACCATATCAATACATTCACTTAGATGCAAACCACAATTTAAGTACTAGTGTATCGGTGTAAAGAATATTTCCATTGTACAAACTCACTGAAAAACAAAATTATGAATTGTCTTTGCCCACATAAGGAGCCTTATGTTGCTCTCAGAAACCCATAATTCTTCAAAGTGTGAAACAAACAGGTCAAAGTATTGTAATGTGCCCACAGTAAGTAGTGGCTGAGGTCATAGAACTTTCTACCCAAGGGAGACAACTCAATCTGCCTAGCTGTGGCACCAATGTCAAACTAACATATCACTGTCTGCATCCAGTACTTTGACTCTGTGGTTGTAACACATGATGTGTTCCCTTCCTGTCTTGTAATATCAATGCATTGCTTAATACAAGTCACTTTCAACCAAAACACTTTAGGCTTAACTGAAAATGTACTTTCATTCAGAGGTACACATCCATCAAAGTGTAGTCATCAACTGGACCATCTGGACCAAGGAAACTATGCCGTGTGAAGTGACAGACAGCTTATCTTGAACAAAATAAATCATGTTAATCTGAATATGATAGTGTCTTCAAATACATGTCAATTGTTTTTTAATATAATCATATTTCTGATTATCCCCAATAACCTTGAGTGGTATATATTGAAGGACATTAAAGATCATTGATCACACAAAATGGATTTTGGTAAGTCGAAACACTAAATTTATGGTATAATTTGAAAATAAAATCTAGATTAATGGGACTCTCAGCCACCCTTTCATGTTACATAATCAACGTATATAATCAATTTGACTGTAAAACCTTACATAAAGATCAATGAAATTCATAACTTGCAGAATTAGATTCATAAAAACATTCACAGACAATCTAAAGTCTAAAGAAGGTTCCACAGTAGTATTAACAAAAAATACAGCATTTAACATTATGTAACAAAAATATATTGTAAAAAGTCCTTGCAACTGTGCTTCATTCAAAACAGTACCGGTACACATCCACATTTTACAGGTTCATAATTAGGGAAAACTGAAAACTGACAACCAGGGCTCCAGATAAGGGCCGTATCGGCGTATGTACGGATAAAACATATGCAGGATTCGGTAGGAAATAATTTAGAAAACGTAGCAGATACGCACCACAGCATAGGTGTCCGGTCTTAGTATCATTTACAGACGTATTTATCTGAAAAAGTATAGTTTTATTGTTTGTTGACCTGTTTACACAAAAGTAGCAATGTTGTGGTGCATATATGAAACCAAACACAAGATAACTGATACTCCATTAATTTCCATTCAGTACTCTAAATGTACTCCTACGGATTTCCAGTACTCCTATATTGAAAAAGTAAGGAGTACGTACTCCTGATGTTGAAAAATTATCTGGAGCCCTGCTGACAACTATTTTGACATAAGTGTACATTTAATTCCTGGGCCACATGAAACACCATGAAATACATCAGCCCTGTGATCACTTCTTTAGTATGGCCATGGTATAATGAACATCATAACTAATAACTTCTGTCCAGTCACTAACTTAAGACAATTTTTAAATATTGTTTCACCTGAAAAATGATTTTCAGCAGTATAATAATTGTTATTACATGCAAAAAATCTCCTATTGATAAAAATGATAAGTGTGCAGTGTCTGAAGCTGGTGAAAGTCAACATTTTAATGCTAATGTTAAATATGGCATGTCTACAGTGTACTAACATTAAACTGACCCTTGATCCTCACAGTGTCTCCATGGTCGAACACCACTGAGGATTTCATTGAACAGAAGCCAACTCAAGCTTTTCCAGCAGGACTTGGTTGTCATAGGAAGAGTTATCTAGTTATATTTGTGTCATATTTACAGAAATTCTCTGTTTCTCAGGATCACAACTCTGTACAAATATTTACATTTTAATTCTCAAATATGGATTATGCCTTAAATTGCCTTTTCATGCAAAGATTTGCTGCGATCTTTAATAAAGTTTCTAATTTGCATGTTTATCACCCTCATGTTTATCAACCTTGTCTAACACGTCAACTATGTATAATACAGTATTACTGCTACAGGTGAAACTGTGTAGGTGTCAGAAAACATTAACAATAATAAAGTAAGGATAAACCTGCATTTTCTATGTGTAAATTACATTACTGGATCATTATGATAATACTAAAAAAATATATTAAAAAATGAGCATATGAAAATCATACAGTTTCATTAACAGTCTCACATACAAATAGGACTGAGAATAAGTCATCACTGGTTGTTGGTTTCCGAACATACATTTGTTTAAGACATGACTGACTGAGTTTGGTTTTACGCTGCTTTTAGCAATATTCCAGCAACATCACGGCGGGAGACACCAGAAATGGGCTTCACACATTGTACCCATGTGGGGATTCGAACCCGGGTCTTCGGCGTTACGAGCCAACGCTTTAACCACTAGGCTACCCCCAACATCTACTCACCATTCTGAGCTCCTACCCCACCTCCCCGTTTTAGACATGAAGTAGAAAGAAATAGTTCATAATGGCCTGGTTGACTTCTTGTTTCTTTGTCAACAGATCAGAAAGAAGTTGCAAGCTGTTGCAAAAACTGCCATGACATTAATTAAGACTAGGTAATCATTTCCCATGTTTACAATTGTCAGTTGATTAGTTGTCAGATAATTAATTCTGAGTTAGCAGTACAAATGATCTCTACAACATCAACCATTTTAAGAATAGATACTGTGTAACAAAAGTAAAAACAAAATCATTCACAGATCTGTTCACACAACATGACATATCAAATATAAGGTTGCCAACCTGTATCCCAAACACAATCTATGTTTTCACTGTACAATTTAATTTGCCTATAACCTGACCCTGAATACTACATAACACAAGTCTTAACAGCACATGTTAGAATTCACTTTGCAAAGGCAGTACAAAAACCCACAGAACACATTCAAAAGCTCTAAGCTCAGGTCACAAATCGGTGAAGTTAAGCAGTGTCGAGCTCGGAGAGTCCTTGGATGGGTGACCGTGTTTGGCAGCTTGACTCCTGAGAGTTTCTAGGACTTGAGTCCTGCCCCACAACGAA